AAGTGGAGGGGTGGGGAACCAAACCCAGTTCTCCCAGATTAGAGTCCGCACACTTAACCACTATACCAGGCTGACAAACAGAATCTCAAGGTCCGGGTCCGGGCGGAGAGGAGACCTCTCCCTAGTGCCCACGAGGCACGTTAATCACTTACTGTTTTGACTTCTCAGCCACTGCAGAGTGTTTCAGTTTTCCGTGTGCCACTGAAGTGCCTTCACTTTGAACCTTGTGACTGAGATCTGTTCTTTCTAGATGAGCCAGAAAAGACATTCTAAAAGCACTCTACACTAAGCAGAAAGACCAGAATAATATGGGTAATTTTTCTTACCGACAACAGCTAAGATATGGACAGGGTTTTGAATTTTTTGTTGCAATCCTAAAAGCATGTGGATCCCATTTTCCATGACAATCTCTCCAAAACAAATGCATTTTCCAACCTAGAGAAGTGACAGACCTCTTTGTCAGCTGGTGTGCGCACCACGCTTCTGAGTAAGTGTTTATTTTGCCAGTGACAAGAACGGTGCTAGAGTCCAACTCCTCTGTTTTGTGTGAGCTTTGGATCCTGGAAGTGCTCAGAAAGTGCCTGTCACTAGCAGTGCGTACGTAAATGTCTTCACCATCCAATAGTTTAGTAGTCTTATATCTTTCTGGAACCTTAAAGTTCTTTAACAAGCTTCTCAGAATGAAGCGCAAAAAGAGACGGGCTGCAGTTTCAGGGCTGACGGGGGACACAGGAAGTCCATTTCAGTAATTTTGTTGTTGTTGTTGTTCAGTCGCACAGTCGAGTCCGACTCTTTGCATTTCAGTAATAGACCCCTTCAGTGCTGGTCTCTGGTTCAGAGCATTGTGATCTATGCTTGGGTAGTCCGTTGGGGGTGGCAGCTGTCACAAGGCCAAATAACTCAAGTCATTTTTAGTGTTCTCAGAGTGCTACAAAAATGCCAGATGCCTGGTTGCCCAGGTTCCAAATATTTGATGTTTTGGCCTAGGAACTTTGTCTCTAAGGTTGAGGCTGGAATCCCAACCCCCCCCCCCCCTCTGATGTTGTCATATAGAAATGCATTCATTTTTACTTATAAATATAATATACATATAAATATAATGCTTACAAAACTGTAACTAAAAAGAGCAATAGGTAAGAGGTTAAAGTCATTTGCATTTATCTAACTGCCCATACATTGAAACACCTTTTCGCATCTTAACCATACTTAGCAAAAAAAACCCAGTCTTTCCATCCATCCATTCGGTTGGGAACAGACGTCCCCCCCCTCCCCCCAATATTGCACAAGCACCGAACATGCTACCAGAATGGCATTTGGTGCAAATGCCTTCCTTCTTGTATCGTTACTGTATTCCATAATACTCATCCTGAATCGCCCTCGATCTTGTGAATCAGCCTGGAGCAGAGAGGTGCTACTTACCCGTCTCCTTGGCGCTTGAACTTGCTCAAGGGGCTGAATTTGGAGTGTGCCTTTGGTTGCAGTCTTGTGCTCTAAAATCAGGAGAGTTGCAAATGGTTGTCCTCATCCATAGTGCATTTTCTTTGCATTCCTTGACTGAAAGGCAGAAGTTAAGTGTGGTGGGGGAAGCAGGTTTTAAAAACACTTGAAACAACATGATAAATAACCCAACAGTCCTTGAGTAGCACAAATGTTTAAAAACCCATGGCAGTTCTATGCACTTACTCCAGCCCATTGATTGAAGTGGAGGAGGAGGAGGAGGAGGAGATTGGATTTATCCCCCACCCTTCACTTGGAGTCTTAGAGCGGCTTACAAACTCCTTTCCCTTCCCCTTCCCACAACAGACACCCTGTGAGGTAGTGGGGCTGAGAGAGCTCTGACAGAAACTGCTCTTTTTCAAGAACAGCTGTGCCAGAACTATGGCTTGCCCAAGATCATCCAGCAGGTGCAAGTGGAGGAGTGGGGAATCAAACCCGGTTCTCCCAGATTAGAGTCTGCGCACTTAACCACTACACCAAACTGGCTCTGGGTTTTGGCTGGCATAACTTAGTGTGAGACAGCATTGTAAAGGATTCAGAAGCAGCAGTCCAAAGTTTTAAAATAGCATGAAACAGCATAAGCACAATAAAAGAATGTGGGGCAACCCTATACCTAGAACCAGATCGAAAACAGAAGGGGGAAAGAAAAGGCTGGTCGGAGGGGTAGTGTCAGACTCCTGCAGCAATCAGTTCCCAACAGCTCTGATTCAAAGAAGTAAAGTTTATTGAGGCTTTGAAAGGATGCAGACATCTTGAGCATTTTGTGTTAGAACTGAATAAAAGCGCACGGAGCAGACATCACTCAAGGGGACCCCCTGATGGACGAGGGCCAATCAGGGGCCAGGTAGAAGCCTGCCAACGTAATGGGCTCCAATTCCCAGGAGACCAGGCACTGAAGGTCAAGCAGAGATGATAAAACACAGAGGAGACAGCAGAATAGAAACTTAACGTTCCAGAATTACCCATGGGATGCCAGGACTAGACAGAGGCCTCGCTGACAGGTAGAAGGTTTTAGGTTGTGAATTCTGCCCAGTCATTGCGCCAAAGCTCTAGGCCAGGGGGATCCATCTGTCCCCTTCTGTCGCCATCTCCTGCCAGCAGGTGAAAACTTGTTTGTTTCGTTTTGTCTTCCCTCAATGATCTCTCCTTCCTAACCAAGGTCCCGACCACACGCAGAATTAGCCGCGTGATAGGCACAAATGCCTAGCGGATTTTAAGGGCTTGATCACACGGGAACATCTGGCGAGCGTTCTGCACCCGTCGGCAATCCGTCTCGCTCCGCCGAAGAAGCAGAGTTTAAAAATACCGGGGAAAGTCCAGTATCAAACGGGTTGCTACGGACCACAGACGGACTTTCCCCCGTGTGATCGCTCCAGCGCGCTCTCATGGTGTCAGGATGTTTCTTCCCCCTTTGCAGTGTGCACATCATCACATACTGCTGTAGAAGCCCTCAGTGTGGAGATGTGAGTCATCGATCCTCCGTTTAAGCGAATCGAAAACAAACAGCAAAAAAACCCCAAACTCCAACTCACCCGTGATTGCGTCTCATCATGCAGTGGCGGGCTATGCCCGCAGCTTCAAAGAACTGTGTGATCACACAACTGCGAGTCAGTTTCCTCCGGGTTAAATACACTCGCTTCCCCTGGGAATTATCTCACATGTTTTTTTGTTTTGTATGTATTTTAACTCCGGGGTGGTTTTTTTTACCTTTAAAAATGTTTTAATGATATATGTTTGGAAAGGGGGTTGATTCTAAATGGTTTTATAATGTAGTTTTATCATGTATGTTTTGAATTGTTAGCTGTCGTGGCAGCCCTCGGTAAGGGCAGAAAGGCGGGGCATGGATTTTGGAAATAATAGTAATGCCGAGGGCCCCCCCCCGGGCTCCACCCCCTAAATCTCCAGGAATTTTCCCGCCTGGAGCTGGCCACCCTAACTCTGCCTGTGTTCCTTCGGCACTGTCTCCCCCACTATTCGTAACATGCAATGGAAATGTGGCACCGAGGTTTATCCTGGCGGAACCGTCTGACGACTGGATCGCTGCCGCTGTCCCCTGCGGTGTTGCTCATCCCGCCTGTCCTGCGGTCAGCTTCTCACCACCATGCACATAAAAAACACAGGTCAAAGAGTCTCATGTTGTGGGGCTGTGTAGTAAGTCTGGCTCATGGGAATGTTCAGAGGTGATGTGTCTCTATATCCGTTGCTGGTTCCCAACGACGTGGTCTTTGTAGTTTAAAAACTGGCATCATCTCACACCCATCTCTCCCTAACCTTTTGTTGCAGTTTTCAAGCAGAGGCTGGATGGCCATCTGACGGCAATGCCGATTCTGTGAACTTAGACAGATCATGAGAGGGAGGGCAGGCAGGGTTGCCTCAGTGCTTAGTTCTTGCGGCCCTTTCTTACACTTAGTTCTTTGTGGCCCTTTCTTACACTTTATTTGTTTATCTATCATCAAACTTATGTCCCGCCCTCCCCGCAAGCAGGCTCAGGGCGGCTTCCATACGTAGTTATATGCATAAATACAGATTAAAACCATTAAAACGCAACAGTAAAACCAGCAACATAAAGTGCTGATGATAATAAAGATTAACCAAGATGGTACATTATCAGAAAGGATTTCCACGGCCCAGATGTTTTCAAATGATCTTCTGCTCGTGATCAGCTCGATGTTAAGAACCCCAGGCCGGGTTTCTGCAGCGGCGGCGGCCCCTAATTAAATGCCTGGCGGAAGAGTTCCATCTTGCAGGGCCCTGCGGAACTGTGAAAGGTCCCGCAGGGCCCTGATCTCCTCCGGGAGCTCATTCCACCAGGTAGGGGCCGCCACCGAAAAAGCCCCAGCCCTGGTAGTGGGCAACCTGGCCTCCCTCGGGCCAGGGAGGGTCAGCCGATTTTGAGACCCAGACCGTAGTGCTCTCTGGGGTATATGCGGGGAAAGGAGGTCCCGTAGGTATGTCGGACCTCGGCCATATAGGGCTTTAAAGGTAAGAACATGGGGTCAGGAAGCAGTTTTTCTCTAGACCAGTTTGGCCAGGGATCCTGGAGGATTTTTGCCATCCTCTGGGCATGGAGCAGGTGTCACTGGGTGTGTGTGTGTGTGTGGGAGGTATTTTGTGAATTTTCTGCATTGTGCAGGGTGTTGGATTAGATGTCCCTGGAGGTCCCTTCCAACTCTATGATTCTACGGAACTGCACTCTTAGTTTTCATTCAGGGTTTTTAAAACGATCAAATTGGAGAACAGGAGTCACCACTCGATAACGATTAAGAACCATTTTTTGGCGTGAGCTTCAGGAACAGCTGGATTCAAGTCCAGTATTACCTTAGGGACCAACAAGATATTTTTTGGGGGGGTATGAGCTTTACAGAGTCAAAGCTGTCAGGGACTTTTTGGGGGTATCCATGTCGAATGTGAACCTGCTAAAAATGATATTTTTGTAGACCAGGATGTCTCTTTTCTCTCCCCTCCCCCCTTTTCAGGACTAATGGCACAAGAATAAGTCCGCCATGGCCGCCATGGTCCCCCCGGTGAAGCTGAAATGGCTCGAGCATCTCAACAGCTCCTGGATCACGGAGGACAGCGAGTCCATCGCCACGAGGGAGGGAGTCTCGGTCCTGTACGCAAAACTCGTCAGCAACAAAGAGGTGGTGCCCTTGCCCCAGCAGGTCCTCTGCCTCAAAGGGCCTCAGTTGCCGGACTTCGAACGGGAGTCCTTGTCCAGCGACGAGCAGGACCACTACCTGGATGCGCTTCTCAGCAGCCAGCTGGCCCTGGCTAAGATGGTGTGCTCCGACTCCCCGTTCGCCGGAGCCCTTCGGAAGCGGTTGCTCGTGCTGCAGAGGATCTTTTACGCACTTTCTAACAAGTACCACGACAAGGGCAAGGTGAAGCAGCAGCAGCATTCTCCGGAGAGCAGCTCCGGCTCCGCGGACATCCATTCCGTCAGCGAGCGGCCGAGGTCCAGCACCGACGCGCTGATCGAGATGGGGGTCCGCACGGGACTGAGCCTGCTGTTTGCGCTGCTGAGGCAGAGCTGGATGATGCCCGCCTCGGGCCCCGGGCTCAGCCTCTGCAACGACGTCATCCACACGGCGATAGAGGTGGTGAGTTCCTTGCCGCCCTTGTCCCTCGCCAACGAAAGCAAGATCCCTCCCATGGGACTGGACTGCCTCTCGCAAGTGACCACTTTCCTGAAAGGAGTGACGATCCCAAACTCCGGGGCGGACACTCTCGGTCGGAGGCTGGCGTCCGAGCTGTTGCTCGGTCTGGCCGCCCAGCGCGGCTCTCTGAGGTACCTCTTGGAGTGGATCGAGATGGCCCTCGGGGCGTCGGCGGTGGTGAACACCATGGAGAAGAACAAAACGCTGCAGACCCAAGAAGGGATGATCAGCTTCGACTGCTTCATGAACATACTCATGCAAATGAGGCGATCGCTGGTACGTACGAAACTGGTTTCCGCGACAGAAAGCGCGCCATTCGGGGCTGGTCATTAGCAGGCTCGTTGCCTTTGCAGAATTTATGCAACCTCTGTGCTTGTGTATGAGATCTTGCCTCCTCCGTTGTACGTTATCTGGCTTAATCAGCGTGAAATCGCTGGCCTTTAAATTTGCCCTACTTGAATCTCCGTGTTGCTGGTTTTCATCATTCTGACCCTATAGAAAAGGAAAGCCGTATCAAGGGCGCCCTATAACTGCACTAGCTGCTTTTAGTCGTTGTACTGGGAATAAACCGACAGTCAGTACAGTGATTTGATGGGGGACCGTTTATTTTTTTTAAATCCTTTTCTTGAATGTGCTGCTTCCCCCTCTACTAGTTCTACCAGCCTTACTTAGAAGAAGCAAATACAGCGGCTTGTTTAATCCGTTTTGTTGTGGGATTTACCCTGTGTTCTTTCAAGCGTGTGATTTTCTTCACGATGCATTTTCAGGATACAGCAGAACTGTACCTTATGTAAAAATGGAAATTGCATGTGTGTGTGTATGTGTGTGTATGTGTGTGTGTTGAGGGGGTGTCTCCTGAACGGCAAATCTCAAGCTTGTGCTGAAATCGTGTTTGCTGTTGGTTTTCCCGACATTTGCCTGTCAGCGGTTTCCTCAGTTTGAGAGACAGGAAGTGTGATGGTTAGCCAGCTGTGGATTTTCTGACCCGTGAGGTGTCGTTTATGGTAGTTCACACAAAGCTCCAGGTTGGTGAAGTCTGCACGCAATGGAGAATGGGATGATAGGGGTCTGCCCCACACCGGGGCACTCCTGGCAGCTAGACCTTGCTTGCAGTTTTGGGATAAGTCCTGCTGTTCGTATATGGACATCGGGGAGGCCTGGAGATGGGGCAGACAGACCTTATGGCCAGGGCAGGTTGGTGCAGTCCTTTTCTCCTGCCATGGACACACTCTGTATTTTTGAAACCTCAAACTGTGTCTTTAGAAATGTCTCTTTTATCTTAAGAACATAAGAGATGCCAATGTTGGATCAGGCCAAAGGCCCATCCAGTCTAACACTCTGTATCACACAGTGGCCAGAAATACCAGGGGCCATCAGGAGGTCCACCAGTGGGGCCAGGACACTAGAAGCCCTCCCACTGTTGCCTCCCCCCCAAGCACCAAGAATACAGAGCATCCCTTGCCCCAGAGCCCCTATCTATACCTTGTGGCTCATAGCCACTGATGGACCTCTGCTCCATATGCTTATCTAATTCCCTTTTGAAGCCGTCCATGCTTGTAGCCACCATAATCTTGTCGCTTATTTCGGGGCTCTCAGCTCACAGCGAAGTGACACTCCTTACAAAGATAATGCAATCAGCTTTGCACAAACCCCCAAATGTTGCTAAAATAGGCGAAACCTGTGAAACAGGAAGAAAAATATCTTAGAACCATCCCCCCCGGGGCGACAACATGAAATGAAAAAACGAGGTGTTTCTCTTTTTTTAAAGCACTTGGAGGATTTCTAAACTGTGTCCTAGTTGGAGGAGTCACTGGCTGAACTTTGAGCCTGGGACAGTCTTGCTTCTCAGAGCTTAGCCGTTCACTCGGGCCATCGAGGGTCTGCTTCCGCCTCTGTTGTGTCGTGCTTTGCCTAGACAACGTGCTCCTCCTGGCATAAGGAGCCTTCCTCGGACTCCTTGGAGCCTGTTTGGTGCAGTGGTTAAGTGTGTTCCCCACTCCTCCACTTGCACCTGTCTGGATGGCCTTGGGTCAGTCACAAGCTCTGATAAGAGCTGTTCTTGAAAAAGAGCAGTTTCTGTCAAGAGCTCTCTGAGCCCTGCCTACCTCATAGGATGTCCTGTTGTGGGGAGGGGAAGGGAAAGGAGTTTGTAAGCTGCTCTGAGACTCCTTTGGGTAGTGAAGGGCGGGGTATAAGTCCAATCTCCTCCTCCTCCTCCTCTTCTTCTTCTCTTTGGTTAGCGGAGGAGCCTCCAGAGGAAAGAGCGGCCCTGATCAGAGTAGGGGGGCAGGATACAACCCCATGTGGGGACAGCGTGACTTATCCGCAGTGTGACTGAGGGGAATGTACGTGGAATGACTTGAGCAATTTGAGCGAGCTGTATGAATGCTCCCATGTTATTTTTCAAGGAAAGCATATTTAGGAAGAAATATTCTGGGTGCGACCCCACACACAATTAGCCCTGCCATAGGCGCGAATGCCAGGTGGATTTAAAGGGCGCAATCAGACACAAACGTCTGGGAAGCGCCTTGCGCCCGTCGGCAACCCGTTGTCCTCTGCTGCGGAAGCAGAGTAAAAAGACACGTCAGTCACAAGCTCTGATCAGAGCTGTCCTTGAAAAAGAGCAGTTTCTGTCAAGAGCTCTCTGAGCCCTGCCTACCTCATAGGATGTCCTGTTGTGGGGAGGGGAAGGGAAAGGAGTTTGTAAGCCGCTCTGAGACTCCTTTGGGTAGTGAAGGGCGGGGTATAAGTCCAATCTCCTCCTCCTCTTCTTCTTCTTCTCTTTGATTGGTGGAAGAGCCTCCAGAGGAAAGAGCGGCCCTGATCAGAGTAGGGGGGCAGGATACAACCCCATGTGGGGACAGCGTGACTGAGGGGAATGTACGTGGAATGACTTGAGCAATTTGGAGCGAGCTGTATGAATACTCCATGTTGTTTTTCGGGGAAAGCTTATTTAGGAAGAAATATTCTGGGTGCAATCCCACACACAATTAGCCCTGCCATAGGTGTGAATGCCAGGTGGATTTAAAGGGCGCAATCAGACACAAACGTCTGGGAAGCGCCTCGCGCCCGTCGGCAACCCGTCGTCCTCTGCTGCGGAAGCAGAGTAAAAAGACACCAGGGAAAGTCCGGTAGCAAACGGGCCACAGGTGGACTTTCCCCTGTCCGATTGCTCCAGCGCGCTCCCGTGGCGTCGGGATGGTCTGATCACGCTATCCCGACTGCGTGCTGTTGTCCCCCCCCCCCCCCCAGTATGGCCACCTTTCCACACCCCCCCAGTTTGGTCAAATACCTCCGGGGGGGGGGGGAATAGCCTTGCTTGATGTAGTGGTTAAGTGTGCGGACTCTAATCTGGGGGAACCGGGTTTGATTCCCCACTCCTCCACTTGCACCTGCTGGTGTGACCTTGGGTCAGTCACAAGCTCTGGCACAGCTGTCCTTGAAAAAGAGCAGTTTGTGTCAGAGTTCTCTCAGCCCCACCCACCTCACAGGGTGTCTGTTGTGGGGAGGGGGAGGGAAAGGAGTTTGTCAGCCGCTCTGAGACTCCCAAGTGAAGGGCGGGGTGTAAATCCAACCTCTTCTTCTTCTTCTTCTCCCCCCCCCCTGCATTATCTCGCGTGTGTGACCGCCACCTCTATTTATTTCTTTGAGTCATTGCAAAAAATAGTTTACATACATGCCTGACGTACGTGGGATTAGATGGCAGCGGTTACTTCCCCGTGATGTTTTATGTTTCAGGGATCATCCGCGGATCGAAGTCAGTGGAGAGAACCGACAAGGACCTCGGATGGCCTCTGCTCTCTCTACGAGGCGTCTCTGTGCCTCTTTGAGGAGGTGGGTCTGTCCAGGGCTGTCTGTCCGGGGCTTTTAAAAGAACACGCGGGCACTTGGCACTTCCCGCTCTTTTGAGAATTTGAAAATTCCGATGGCTGCCCAGGTGCTTCCAAGTTTTTAGACCTTTGCTCTCTCATTCCCTTCAGTTCCTTTCCCCGCCTCTTTCCAAGACTCGGTGATTTAGAGTTTGTATACACACAGACATAGCGTCCCCCAGTTCTGCTAAGTCTAGTTGTTAAAGAGAGCCCAGACAACAAAGGGACCTCTGGGGGAATGGAATTCCACAAACCGGAATGCCTCTCTGTGTATCTGGCTGTCTGAATGGGGTGGGCCCGTCAAGAAGATGCTCTCAGTTGCCCTGACCTAGAGTTATTTGTTTAGTTATTATTTTCCATTTATAACCCGCCTTGCCGGGGCGAACTGGCTCAAGGCGGCTTACACAAGATAAAATACAATGAAACAATAAATTCATTAAAACTCCTATAATAACATAAAGTGCAAATAAGACAGTACAGATGGCGGCAGTTTCTAAACATGATCCAAGAAGAAAGTGGCATCCCATGGTGTAACACTAAGGGCCATAGTATGTTCCGATGGCTCATCCGTCAGTGGCGGCTCCTAATCGAAGGCCTGGTGGAAGAGCTCCGTTTCGCGGGCCCTGCGGAGCTGTACGAGGTCCCGCAGGGCTCTGATGCTCTCCGGGAGCTCGTTCCACCAGTGTGGAGCCGCCACTGAAAAGGCCCTGGCTCTAGTGATGGCCAATCTGGCGTCTTTTGGACCAGGGAGAGTCAGGTGATTTTGCGACCCTGACCTCAGTGCTCTCTGGGGCACGTACAGGGCCCAGGCAAACCCAGTCTCTCGTCAGATCTCAGAAGCTAAGCGGGGCCAACCCTGGCAAGTACTTAGATGGGAGACCTCCAAGGGATACAAGCAGTCGGGAGGCGGGGGCAGGCTTTATTCAGTATATATATAAGGGTGGATCCGCTCTTATCAAGTGGAGGTGGTGGTGTGGACTCCCAGTTTGTTAAAGGAAAATGGGAGAGGGAAGTTTGGAAACCAGGTGTGTGTGATCGTACCTTAACTACCACTTCTCTGTGCCAGAGTCTTGACCATCGGGCTTAGTATTTGTAACTGAATTCTCCACGTGCGGTAAGAAACCGGGCCAAAATAAATAAAGCTTCTAGAGCGTTTGATAAAAGGTGGCCTTGTTTTGTGAGCTGCAACTCAGTTTCCTAAGGTGATGTTATTGGTACAGGTTTGTCGCATGGCATCTGACTACTCCAGGACGTGCGCCAGCCCAGACAGCATTCAGACGGGCGATGCTCCCATAGTTTCTGAGACCTGTGAAGTGTACGTCTGGGGCAGCAACAGCAGCCACCAACTTGTGGAAGGCACGCAAGAGAAGATCCTTCAGCCCAAGCTGGCCCCCAGTTTTTCCGATGCTCAGACAGTGAGTGGCCCTTTTTTGTTGTGTTGTCGTGGTTAAAGAGAGAGGCAGCTTGGACAGTTTATTTATTTGATTCCCCACAGTTTGGTGTAGTGGTTAAGTGCGCGGACTCTAATCTGGGAGAACCGGGTTTGATTCCCCACTCCTCCACTTGCAGCTGCTGGATGACCTTGGGCAAGCCGTAGTTCTGACAAGAGCTGTCCTTGAAAAAGAGGAGTTTCTGTCAGAGCTCTCTCAGCCCCACCTACCGCACAGGGTGTCTGTTGTGGGGAGGGGAAGGGAAAGTAGTTTGTAAGCCGCTCTGAGACACCTTTGGGTAGTGAAGGGTGGGGTATAAATCCAATCTCTTCTTCTTCTTTATTTATTAAATTTCTACCCCACCCTTTCCACCATAGTGGGCTCAGGGTGGCTTACACAAACACCACACACAGCTAAAACAGAACTAAATAAAACCATGACAGTATAAATATAAAAACATTCCAAAGTGCTAGTGCTAAACAGTTCATATACAGCGGTAGGCATGAACAGCATCCAGCAAGCGGGCAGTCAGTTCCCATCGTGGTCTGGGTTATATCGGCTGTTGATGTAGATGTTAGTATTGGGGCCAGAGCATCGGTTGTGTGATGTGGCTCCCTAGTCGAAGGCCTGGTGGAAGAGCCCCGTCTTGCAGGCCCTGCCGAACTGTGAAAGGTCCCACAGGGCCCTGATCTCTTCCGGGAGCTCATTCCGCCAGTGCGGAGCCACCATTGAAAAGGCCCTGGTTCTCATCACAGCCAGCCTGGCTTCTCTAGGGCCTGGCAGGGCCAGTTAGTTTTGGGACCCTGATCGTAGAGCTCTTTGGAGAACATTGTGGGGAAAGGCGGTCCGTTAGGTTTTGAATATCCTCTCCCAGAATGTCCAAACTGCATGTTACCAGCGTATCATTCCCGCGGGATATGAGGATCTCTCAGCTAATAGCACAAAGTGGAACACAGTCCGTGTTCTGCAAACCTAATCACTGAGCCCCAGCTTGCAATCATCTTTTAAAAAATGTTTCTTTATCTTTCCCCTCCAACAGATTGAAGCCGGACAGTATTGCACTTTCGTCATCTCTACGGACGGTTCTGTCCGAGCTTGTGGCAAAGGCAGTTACGGCAGGCTGGGCCTGGGCGACTCCAACAATCAGTCCACTCTGAAGAAACTCACCTTCGAGCCTCACCGGTCGATCAAAAAGGTGTCGTCCTCCAAAGGTTCTGATGGCCACACGCTGGCGTTCACGACGGAAGGAGAAGTCTTCAGCTGGGGCGATGGCGACTACGGGAAACTTGGGCACGGGAACAGCTCGACGCAAAAATACCCCAAACTAATCCAGGGCCCTTTGCAAGGAAAGGTATGTAGTGTCGCGGAATCGCTCTTCGGGTTGATTCTTTCTCAGTTCATTTGGGTCAGTGCTCGGGAGAGATTTCGTGGGTATCACGTTTCTTTTGTGCATGGCTTAGTTTTTTCCTTCAAAATAATTGCCCTCGTTCACAGGCCCATTCAGCTTCAGTCCCCTTTGCCTTCATTAAGCTCTTGTCACGCTAAGGACTGTTTCTCCGGTTACTCACTCCGTAAACAAAGGCTGCTGGACTATATTTCCACGTGGTGGGATGTGCTGTCTGTCCAGAACTTGCTGTGTGAGTCAGCCTGCCCAGGTGCAGAGAACGCCAGAGCTGGCTGCCGCCACAGAGGGCTGGCTTTTGCAGAGAGAGGTTCCATGAGTCCAGGCTGATCCACGGGGTAAATAAAAGACAGGCGTTCTGTCCTCCCTCACGTTTGGCATGCGGCCACCTAGAAGCCCGTCCTGGTGGCTTCCACGCGGTATAACGTTTGGGTTGGCCCTTGGGTGCGTTTTCTGAATTTGGTCTGGCTCCACTTGGAAACACAGGCTGTGTCTCAGTGGCAGAGCCTCTGCTCCGCATGCAGGTTCAAGTTCCAGTCCTCTGCATCTCTGGTTAAAAACGGGTCTGGCAGGAGGTGGCGGGAATGTGCTGAGCCCTGGAGAGCGGCTGCCGGTCTGAGCAGACGACACTGACCTTGATGGACGGAGGGCCTCTGATTCAGTTTAAGGCAGCTTCTTCTGTCTGTTTAAACAATTAGCACCCTTAAAAAAAAAAGCATTAACATTTTATTGGTTTTTTGGAAAAAGGAAAAGTGCAACAGTTCAAAGTGGTGTTGATTTCTAATGGGACTGCAATACAATTCAGAACACAGTTAGATACAATAAGTAACTTTAAACTGTTAATCGGCATATGATAGATACCAAAAGTACAAACCCGTACAGTTTCTGTTGGTGAATCGGGTAGCAACACGACCAGTCTGGACTGTGAGTTAAATGAAGAGTAATTTGAGATGTATCTGTTTGTAAGGCTGTGTGTCACTGGCTAAGAGATACTCCAAGAATGGTAGCCGCTTATCAGAGAAGCTAGGCTGTTTAGGGAAGAGCTCAGTATGTCTGAGACGATCTGTAATTTTCTCCATTATAAAGAGATCCCAGACTTTAGTGAACCAACCCCTGAGAATGTGCCCATAGTTAGGGATCCATAAAAGTGATTAGCACTACAAAGTTGTAAACCGCCCAGAGACCCCCATTGGGGGGGTTAGGGCGGTATATAAATCGGAAGGTTAAATAAATAAAAAATAAACCAATGTTCAATAGTAGGGGCAAGAATATAAGGGTCTTCAGGGATGGAATTTTCTTTCACAAGTTTCCCGGTTTTGCAGGGTGGGGTGGGGGGGAGCATTTGCGAGGACAAGCGCTGCCACCCGTTGCCATTATGGGGCAGCTCAAACACCCACCTGTGTTATGTCTGGTCGAAGTTGTGATGAAGTGGGATGGGGGTGGGCCGCAAGCCGGAGCTTGGCCGTTGGCCTTGCAGGGTAGCCTGCAGTGCCTCCGATGGTGCATTGTGCCGAATTTCAGCTGGTGCTGGATCAAGGCCTGTTGGCGGCAGATTGGGAAGCTTGTGGGGGTTTCTGTTCTGGAGGGGGAAAGCCCGGGAATGGATCAAATAAGAGAAATGGCCATGAGCACGAAGCAAGGATTGGCAGAGCTCCTGACTCCTGCCTGGTGGCACAGGAATATCTTGGAAAGTTTCAATGCAGCCCCAGGGACTACTGCAGACTGGCCGCACACCACACTAGCCAGTGGAGGTGCCATAGGTATCCTCAGGCCCGTAGCCAGGATTTTGTGGCTTGTGGGGCAGACTTTTTTCTGGTGGGGCTGAAATTCTCAGTGCAGAAAGAAAAGCCAATAGAAAGCTGTGACCAGGACAGATCTCTAAATGGCAAGCTGTCAACCACTTTAGATGACAGTTCTCAGCTGCTGCAAGTTAATCACTTCTGGCAGCCTGAGCAACAATATATATATTATTGCATTGTCTCAATGCATCTGTGTTTAACATATTTTAACCACTATAAGCCGCCCTGAGCCTGCTACGCAAGGAGGGCAGGATATAAATTGAATCAATAGATAAATTCTTTCTGATAACAAGCTGGCAGATGGGGGTGATGACTTCTGTAGTCAAGAAAGCTAACACTTGGGCAGAAAAACTCTCTGAATGGAGGCCAGTTTCTTGACCCAGAGTTAGAAGGGATCCTAGAGGTCACCTACTCCAACCCCCTTGCTCAGTGCAGGAATTAGTCAACTACAGCACCCCACTCTACTTAAAGGAGCACACACCTTTAAAAAAGCTTTTGCAGGATACATTTTTGTGGGGCTGTGCCTTTAAGAAAAGGGGTGGCGGCCCCCAGAGTCCTACCATAGTTATGGGCCTGGGTATCCTCTTGAGACGGTAGGCCTCTCCTTTTGCCTCACTGCCGTTAGACTCTGGGTACATGGTGGGGAGGGTTTGGTGACCGTGCCCAAATCTTTATCCCGATAGGCCTCCAATTTGTTTCCCCTGGTAGAGTTGAAGGATGCGTCATTCCAGTTGGCTGCACTCTCAGCTTCTGCCTCACAGTGTGGCTGTGTATCAGATTTCTGCAGGGAACGGTATTGCTGGAGTCGTTTGGAACTTCCCCACGTTTCCTGCCTAGATCTATTGACGGGGCGGAATTTGAGGCCAAGAACCACTCACTTTTCCTACACTCTAGATGAGTTGCACTTTGCTGGGATGCACTCCTGCCAAATACTAATGCGGCCTCTGGGAAGGGCACGGAGGACGGCGACAGCAGTGGCCGTGGGACGTGGAGGGAGGGCTGGATGGAAAGATGTGGGCGGCAGAGGACTGGAGGCTTCGTGATCACGGGGTGGCTCTTACTGCAGGGACCAGGCATTGTCAGGAAGCGGGACAGGGTCTCAGTTTGGCTTCTGCATCGACGGCAGCATCTCCTGCACCAGCTCTGCTCTGACCGTTTATTTTTTGTCTGTGCCATGCAGGTAGTTGTGTGCGTGTCAGCTGGATACCGACACAGTGCCGCCGTTACGGAAGATGGCGAATTATATACTTGGGGCGAAGGCGACTTTGGTAGACTAGGTAAGGAGTTAAAAATCAGCTGCTCTGCTAAGTGTGTGTGTGTGTGTTGTGCATAATAAAAGAAACCTTAAACGCATAATCCTACATTGTTACTTCTAACTCCTCGACCGTGCAGAAGCTTCGGAGCTCTGGGCCTGGGCAGTCCCTTGACAGGAAGTTGTCACCATCACCTTGGGCTCCATGTTGGCAGAAAGGCCCAGATATAAACATAAATGAAATGGTTGCTGTGGGGAAAAGGCCAGGATCTGAAAGCATAGTTTGAAACTGGGTTATTAGCCTCTAGGGATAGATCAAGATGGGTAACCATCAGTGTTCCCTCTAAGCTGAGTGAGTGTGAGCTAGCTTACAGTTTTTTTAGCTTCCGGCTCACACATTTTTGTCCGCTCAGGAAAGATGGCTCCAGAGCAAACTAATTTATGCAATAGCCAAATCACTCATTCACAACTTTAATGCCAGTAGCTCACAAAGTAGAATTTTTGCTCACAAGACTCCACAGTTTAGAGGGAGCATTGGTAGCTGTGTCAGTCATAGAATCATAGAATCATAGAATCATAAAATGTTAGAGTTGGAAGGGATCTTGCAGGTCATCTAGTCCAACCCCCTGCACTCTGCAGGAGCATAGCCAAAAGATAGCCCTACAACATACCCGAAAGATGGTCATCCAGTCTGTCTGTAGCAGTCGAGAAGAGCAAGAGTCCAGTAGCGCTGCCCCCTAACGTTTGTCTGAATGGTTTTTTAACCTGGGTCGCTGACATCCGTACTATTCAAGCCATGTACTTTTCTCACCGCCTGGACCTTTCAAGACAGCAGGAGGGAGACCACTTAAAAATTCTTTTCCTAGGATAGGTCAGTGCAAAGGCAAGGACCGAACGGGAGAAGGCTTTCTCCTTCGTGAGACTGTATTCCCTTTTCTCCCCCCCCCCCAAGGTCACGGTGACAGCAACAGCCGAAACATTCCAACTTTAGTCAAAGATATTAGCAACGTAGGAGAGGTTTCCTGTGGCAGCTCGCATACCATCGCTTTATCCAAAGACGGGCGGACGGTGTGGTCGTTTGGAGGAGGAGATAACGGTACGGCATTCCCAGGGTTTCTTTTTCTTTCTCAAGGGGGCTGGGGCCGTTGTGGGGCAGGCCTGCCGCTCTTCAGGTCTGTGCTGTTATCTGGCTGGCCTGAGGAGGGGAAAAGCCAACATGCCCAGGAGAGCTGTTCAGAATTCAAAGGAATGAGCAGGGAAGTGAAGCACAGGGGCAGTGACCAGAGAGGAACCCACCCTCCACATGGCTGGTTTCCCACTTGGCTCTGGGTAGAAGAAGAAGAAAGAGAGATTGGATTTATACCCTGCCCTTCACTACCCAAAGGAGTCTCAGAGCGGCTTACAAACTCCTTTCCCTTCCCCTCCCCACAACAGACACTCTGTGAGGGAGGCGGGACTGAGAGAGCTCTTTCAAGAACTGCCCTTTCAAGGACAGCTCTTGTCAGAACTATGGCTTGCCCAAGGTCATCCAGCAGCTGCCTGTGGAGGAGTGGGGAATCAAACCCAGTTCTCCCAGATTAGAGTTCGCACACTTAACCACTACACCAAACTGACTCTCAGAAGCTCAGCATCCACACTTCCCCACAACAATGTGCTGTGTTTTCTGGAGTGATTGATGGGGGGAGGGGGGTTGAATCCATTAGAACATTAGAATCAATTAGAATTGTCGGGCCAGGCCATGTGTGCTATAAAATGTAATGCCAGGTACCAGAGATATAAACTTTATAAAGGACACGGGCAAATCCAATTAACAATATTATTTTTAAACCAAAAATACAAACAAAAGCAACTGATTCCTAGCAGTGAGAGCAATTGACTTACTGGGGAGCCCAGAAAAGCCCCAATAAATGTGTTTAATCACATGCAAGGCTAGGTTTTTTCCAAGGAATACCATAAAAGGGGGGGGGTAACCTTATATTTCCATACATACCAGTTGCTTGCGGGCCGGGAAAGAGCCTTGGATGGGCCTTATGTTTGACAGCCCTGCATTAGAACCTGTGGACTTGTGCACTCAACGAGCATGTTGTGCCACATGCAATTCCCAGAAGGCGTTTCTTTTCTTTTGTTTGCACCTTACTTTTAAACCAGAAAATTGGCTCTTGAGATCTTTGTGAGGGTGGCTAAGTATCCACAGCATAAAATTAGCCTGTTTCCCACTCCTGCCACATCATATGTGCCTTTGCTTTCTCCGGTGGTGATCCCAACAGGCAAGCTTGGTCACGGTGACACCAACCGTGTCTATAAACCTAAAGTGATCGAAGCCCTGCAAGGAATGTTCATACGGAAGGTTTGTGCCGGAAGTCAGTCATCGCTGGCGCTCACATCGACGGGGCAGGTAAGCTGGAAGCAGTTGTGCAAAACGTGTTAGTTGTTTGTTGTTGTTCAGTCGCATAGTCGAGCCCAACTCTTCGCCACCCCATGGACCACATCACGCCAGGCCCTCCTGTCTTCCGCCGTCCTCTGGAGTTTGCTCAATTTCATGTTTGCTGCATCAGTAGCACTGTCTAACCTTCTCATCCTTTGCCGTCCCCGTCTTCTTTGACCTTCAGTCTTTCCCCAGCATCAGGGTCTTCTTCTCCAGTGAGGGCTCCCTTCTCATTGGGTGGCCAAACTATTTGAGCTTCAGTCTCTGGCCTTCCAGGGAACAGTCAGGGTTGATTTCCTTTAGGATTGACTGATTTGATCTCCTTGCAGTCCAGGGGACTCTCAAGAGTCTTCTCCAGCACCCTAATTCGAAAGCATCTATTCTTCGGCGCTCGGCCTTCCTTATTGGCCAACTCTCGCAGCCGTACATGACTAGCGAAACATGTTAGGCCTCCACTAAAAGTGTTAGCCTGCGGGCTTAGGCTAGCAGACTTTAGACTAGCCTACAGACTTGTGGTGGTGGGAAAGTGCCATGAAGGCACAGCCAACTTGGGGCAACCCTGTAGGGTTTTCAAGGCATCGGAGGGATGGAAGTGGTTGGCCACTGTCCGCCTCTGCGTAGCAACCCTGGGCTTCTTCCCGGGTGGTCTCCTATCCAAGGAGTAACCAGGGCCAAGCCTACTTAAGTCCATGGGCTGCCCATCCACATCACGGCAGCCTACAGGCTTAGGCTAGCCCTATTGGCTGTATATATATTGAGCCCCGTAGAGCACTGGGGTCCACCAGTCAACATCTTTTGGTGGTCCCCGGCCCCAGGGACGTCCGACTTGCCTCGACCAGGGTGGGGGCTTTTTCAGCCCCGGCCCCTGCCTGGTGGAATGAGCTCCCGTGTGAGATCAGGGCCCTGCGGGATCGATTACAATTCCGCAGGGCCTGCGAGACGGAGCTCTTCCACCGGGCTTTCGGTTGAGGCAGTGGGCGTCCCCCTTCCTCCTTGGGTTGGCCCTAATTACAGCTTGGGTCGGCCCCTGTTTTTATGGCCTGGGTCCTAAACTGTGCAGATTTCTGAGAAATTTATTCCCAGTACTGTCAGCCACTTGAGGCAATCGGCTTTTATAAAAGCTGTGTGTTTTATATGGTTTAACATGGTTTTAATTGTATTGTGTTGATACTGTTGTACCGTATTTATATTGTTGGGACCCGCCCTGAGCCCATTAAGGGGAGGGCGGGATACAAATCCAATAAATAAAGAAATGTTGTAGAAAGCTGGGCCTGTATAAAACTGAGAGCTGTAAAAATACAGTCACGACAGAGAAAACCTTTGACTGAATATCTGAACTCCAGCTCATTGGCGAAGGGCAAAAGGGGAGATGGTTCAAGATGTCTTGGGTAGTAATGACTGTATGCCCGGACTTGGAGTGTTTTTTGCCCAGCCCTGATTAGAGATGTGAAGGCCCGGAAAAAAAACGGAAAAATTAGGGGGGGAAACGGGTTTTTTCCGTTTTTTCCCTGAAGCCTTTTTTGTTTTTTTCTGAAAAATTGGAAAAATTGAAAAAAGAAAAAAAAAGAAAAAAAATGATTATGGAATGTTTTATTTTAACATGATGAATAAAATATTTTAAGACAAGGTGTTCAAATATTTTCCAAATCATTTCTAAAATATATATATATATGGCATCAGATTGATCTAATTTCTGTGCACTGACAAGCAAGTCCTAGGTTACAAACTGAACTCTCCAATACAAGAACAAGATGCATTTCTTCCTTTAGGAGGTGCTATTGTCACGAGAGAAAAAAAAGTTTCAGTTTTGTTTTGCATGTGGGCGGGTATTCTGTTTGTAATAACTGTTTGGACACACTATATTTTTAATATGCTAGTTGTGATAATTTCATGCCAAGTAAAAATGTCCATAGTCATATTTTATGTTCCTAAAGTAACAGAATGACTTTCAATCTAGAAAAGACAAAAGAAGTGCTAATTTAGCATTTTTTCCAATTTTTCCGAAAATTTCCGTTTTTTTCCGGAAAAAACCAGGTTTTTTTCCGAGCTTCAAAATTTCCGGAAATTTTAAAGAACTAGCCCTGATGCTCCTCACAGAGTTCCTAATGTGCACAATGAGCAGCCACATCCTCACGGGGGCAGTTTGCTTCCTTTCCGTTTATTTTGGGCGTGGCCAGTCTGTGCCTGATGCGGGGAAAGATTGAAGGTCAAAGAAGACGGGGACGGCAAAGGACGAGAGGGTTGGACAGTGTCATAGATGCAACGAACATGGAGTTGAGCCAACTTCAGAGGACTTCGGAAGACCAGAAGGCCTGGTGGGATCTGGCCCATGGGGTCGCGAAGAGTCAGACTCGACTGTGCGACTGAACAGCAACGAGTCTGTGCCTGCCCAGGAGGAGCGCGCGGTCCCCCCCTGCCCTCGGGCTCAAGCTCTGTGCGTGTGTGTGCTGGCGTGGGACTCCCCCCCCCCCGAAGCCGTGCCGCTCATGCTCCCTCTTGCCTCCCAGGTGTACGCCTGGGGCTGCGGCGCCTGCCTCGGATGTGGCTCCTCAGAAGCAACCGCGCTCCGGCCCAAGTTGATTGAAGAGCTTGCCGCGACGCGGATCGTGGACATCTCCATCGGGGACAGCCACTGCCTGGCTCTCTCCCATGGTAGGCAAAACGCGCCTCTGGAACGCCAGCACAGGAGGCCGTCTCGATCGACGGAGGTCGGCTCTCGAGCTCTCGTTCGTTCGATTGACTCTGCTTTATTTTCCGGTTCCACCTAGATAATGAGGTTTACGCGTGGGGCAACAATTCCATGGGTCAGTGCGGCCAGGGGAATTCCACGGGTCCCCTCACGAAGCCCAAGAAGGGGAGCGGTCTCGACGGAGTGGCCATCCAGCAGATCTCGGCCGGGACCTCCCACAGCCTGGCCTGGACAGCCCTGCCTAGAGACAGGCAAGTGGTGGTGGTCCCACGGACAGGCGTCTGGTGGTTGCCAAGTCTCCCGTTAGACCAGGTGGCCTTCGTGCCGTCTGTCTGCCTGTCTTGGCAGGAAGACCCTATTTTTTTTTTTTTTAATTGCATTGTGTGTGTTGGATTTTTGTCCTGTGTGTTTCATGGCTTCCTCTTCCGCTTCCAGGCAAGTCGTGGCCTGGCACAGGCCTTACTGTGTGGACCTCGAAGAAAGCACCTTCTCCCACCTCCGTTCCTTTCTCGAGCAGTACTGTGACAAAATCAACAGCGAGGTCCCACCTTTGCCCTTCCCTTCGTCCAGGTATTTATTTACAAGGCTTCTGTGGAGCTGCCTCCCTTTGCATTCTGGATCTTTGCCCTCTGATTTCTGTTTGGCGTGTAGCAGCAGGAGACTCGGAGGGCCCGGGCTTGCTTTTGGAGGAGTCATGTGTGTGTTGATGATTCACAGTGCAATCTGGCGCAGTGTCACTCCAGTCCATCAAAACTGGCAGTCTTAGACTGGAGAAACTTCACTTAGGAATGCACTGTTAGTCCCCTCCGTTTCAACCAGATGTCACATGCATTTACTTTCTAGAACAGAGCCTTAAATTGTGAACTGCAGAGCGCATTTTGGTCAGTTCCATACTTCAGGCACCTGCAACGGCGTTTTCTGATTCTGGATAAGCTTCACCATAGGTGGTTTCCTAGTTCAGCCGGATAGGAGGCAAGGTGTTAGGCAGTCTTTAGGAGGCAAGGTGTTAGGCAACCTAGAAGATCCTTTTACTAAGAAAAACAGGTCTTTCCCAGTTGTCATCGTTTTGGAAAGGTCTTGCACTACATGCTTTCTCTCCTCCTCCCCTCTCTGACTCTACATTGGGGGCCATCCCTGCCACGTGACTTCTTAGAGGCACACGTCACCCGGAATAGGTCCCGCCTCCTGCCAGTCAGTCACCTTGGTGAGGTTAAAGGGCCAGTCTGTTTTGGGTCTGGAACCCGACAATGCTTTTTAGCAGGGCTTTTTTTGTAGAAAAAGGCCAGCAGGAACTCCTTAGCATAACAGGCCACATCCAACAGCAGGAACATATTAGCATATTAGGCCACACCCCTGATAGCACAGCTTATTGCCATATTAGGCCACACACCCCCATGTTACCAGAAGTGTGGTCATCCAGCCACACCCACCTTTTGCTTCTTATTCTGTTTGCTTTGTTGTCAAACCAGGGCTTTTTTTGTAGCAGGAACTCCTTTGCATGTTAGGCCGCACACCCCTAATGTAGCCAATCCTAATGAGTGTCTGCTGTTAGGTGTGGCCTATTATGCTAATGAGTTCCTGCTGGGCGTGGCCAACTCAGGAGCCAGCCGGGACTCCATTCCTGTGCGTTCCTGCCCAAAAATAGCCCTGCTTTTTAGACTTGGTGACGTGATTAATTGGCAGTTAAGTCCGTTGGCAGTCGTCCTTGGGTTTGTGGAGGAAAAGCTGAGGACAGCTTCTTCCTGACCTGCTGTTACTCTGTGGGGTCTGTCAGTAATTTCTCTTTTTGATGCATTGTCCACATACAGCAAATGTGCTAGGATTCCTGGGGGGGGGGAATGTGCGTCCCCTCTCCCTAAGGCTACATATCCAGGGAGCAACTCCTTGTACACAGCAGAAGGAATCGGATTTGGAGGTTAAGAACTTTAATGTTCTGAATTTGAATTAGTTTTTCCTCAAGAACCTGGCAGTGCTGCTGGAACTAGACTTAGCACTCCTTCAAAGAAGTCTTATTCAAGGTATGAGCTTTCGTACGTAAGCACACTTCCTCAGATCCAGACTGAGGAAGTGCGTGCTTGCACACGGAAGCTCATACCCTGAATAAAACGTTGTTGGTCTTCAGGGTTCTGCTGGACTCGAACTTCATTCTGCTGCTTCAGACCAACGTGGCTGCCCACCCGAATCGGCCTTTCAAAGAGTATAATTGTGGAGCAATTTGCCTCTTTTGCGGCTGTTGCCTTCAAAGGCTCTTTTGGTGTGTGGCGTTTTATGCGCAGGGCGTCGGGAAGGGAAGCAGGAGAAGAGAGTGCCCTGAGTGGGGATTCGGGGGTGGTAAGAAAGCCAGGGTTTGTTTTTCTTAACAGAAACTGTAATTGCATTTTTAGTGGCCAGTAAGAAAGTTGTTCCATACCCAGAGTTAAATAATACCACTTCCGGTTTACGTGATAATTGAAATTCAGGCCAGCCGGGGTTGACGGTGGCTCTTCTCTTTCGCAGGGAGCACCACAATTTCTTGAAGCTCTGCCTGAAGCTGCTTTCCAATCACCTCGCTCTGGCATTGGCCGGGGGAGTCGCCACCAGCATTCTCGGGAGGCAGGCCGGCCCGCTTCGGAATTTATTGTTTAGACTGATGGACTCCTCCGTCCCAGACGAAATACAGGAGGTGAGTCTCTGCCGTGTCATCCCTGTTCTGCGTACATCCCCCCTCCGTGTGCCCGTTCTCTGGAGGTGGAAGGTGCCATCCAGTTGCAGCCGGGAAGGTTTGCCATTAGAAATGCATCGTAGACCTAGTCCCACCATGACTTAATCTTGGCAATCCCCAGTCACCAGAAATTAAACCAGCTCTCTGCCATAAAGGCTGGGGGGGGGAACCGTTCACTCCTTGGAATGTACTTTGGGTTTCCTGGTTGCCTCAGTGATGCTCCCTTATCTGTATGTTTTATGTGCTTGTCCTTGAATGCTTCCCGGTTACACCTTCTCTGGGAAAGTGGGACCCTTACATTCTGGCGGGGCCCTCTTCTCCCCTCATTGGCTCTACACCACCCAGTGACCCCCTTTGAACTATGTATATCAGTTCACCCCGCGCTTTATGCTTTGGTCTTAACACAGTTCCTGAAGTAAATGCCCTGCCAATACGGCTTCAATAAACTTTCCTTCTGAAGAAGCGAGTTGTTGAGTCTGATTGCTGCAGGAGTCTGACAGAGTGTTAAGACTAAAGCATGTCACCAATAGAGTATATGTAATAGTTCTAACAGAATTTCGAGGCATTGCCTTCAGTACTTCAAGCCTGAGATATATCTTGAACAACAGACAAACCTGATGAAGAGGACGCAAACGGAATGATTACTAGAATGCCGTGGTTTGTCTTAAGTTGTTTCTCTTTGTTTTTCTCTTTGTAACAAGTGCATTACATTAGGACTTTTGTCTAAGATAAGACTTGATTGCTGGCTGTAAATATTACCGTAGGAGTTATATCATAATGAATGTACTGTTGAGCTTCATGGTTAAGTCTTAAACTGTATTCTGGTTAATTACCTGATACTCTAAAAATATTTATACTAAGCATATATATAAAAAGATAAAAATTCTAAAATTATACACGGTGATTTAGTGTTTTACTTAGTGGGGTTTTCAAGGCAAGAGACGAGCGGAGGTGGTTCGCCATGGCCTGCCTCTGTGTAGCAACCCTGGACTTCCTTGGTGGTTTCCCACCCAAGTGCCGACCCCGCTTAGCTTCTGAGATCTGATGTGATCAGGCTAGCCTGAGACGTTCAGTTCAAGGCATTCATTATTTTCACGGGTGCTTAAAATTGGAAAGATATTCTTAAAACCTGACACTTGGGCAGCCACAATGAAAATTCTGCCTGTTAGGGCTGGTTTGGCTATAAGGCTGCAGCTGGTGACCTGTGAGTTGCTGGTAGTGGCTATAGCTCTGTTCAGCACCCTCTGACTGACTTAGCCCTGTAGGAGAGACTCAGAAGAAGAAGAAGAGATTGGATTTATACCCTGCCCTTCACTTGGAGTCTCAGAGCGGCTTACAAACTCCTTTCCCTCCCCCTCCCCACAACAGACACACAGCTCTGGCAGAACTCTGGCTCGCCCAAGGGCATCCAGCAGGTGCAAGTGGAGGAGTGGGGAATCAAACCCGGTTCTCCCAGATTAGAGTCCGCACACTTAACCACTACACCAAACTGGCTCTCAAAATGACTCAAAGGCCGCCAGCAGCTTGTGTAGGTAACGCCTGTGGTGTTTTCAAGTGATAAACTGAAACCAGAGCGTTCAGAGGGCCGAAAGCACAAAATTAAAAGTGCAGACGTTTATTTTATTTATTTAAAACATTTTAATGCTGCTTTTCCACCTGACTAGGGCTCCCCCCAAAAAACACATCCCTCAAACACGTTCTGGCTGTTGCTGGCACGTTCACAACGAGGTCTCCTTCTCCACTCCAGGTGGTCATAGAGACCCTGTCGGTAGGAGCCACAATGCTGCTGCCGCCTTTGAGAGAGAGAATGGAACTGCTGCACTCGCTCCTCCCCCAGGGGCCCGACAGGTGGGAGAGCCTGTCGAAAGGGCAGGTAAGTGTCAGCTATGCTGCCATTGCAGGTGGGGGGCGGCGGCGAAGGAGGCAGTTGGATGAACTTCTTAATGTGCTGGAATGTCAACTTTCATTTCTCTCGCTGAGTCTTATCTTTCTTTTTTTTTTAATTTATTTTTCGTTTCCCAAGAATCCATAATCCATATTATATGCTAAAGCATTTGTTACTTACAAAAGAATCTTCCCGCTGTTAAATCAGCCATACACCTTAATTCGTACTGAATTACTTACACATTTTTGTCATTTTACCAATCCACTTATATACATTCACCCAAGTTTTTTCAAATTCTTCTTCCCCTTTCCCCTGTAACAATATTGTTAACTTATCCATTTCAGCTATCTCTAGCAATTTCTGTACAAATTCTTCCCTTAATGGGATTTTTTTCTGATTTCCAATATTTAGCAAACAAGATCATGGTGGTCGTTATAACATGTAAAATCAAATATCCGGATTTTTATATACGTCCGGAATTATATTCAGTAAGAATAATTCTGGCTTAAGTGGTACTTTTAGCTCTGTTATTGCTTGTAACATCTCTTGGATCATCAACGAATATTTTTTTGCGTTGTCACATATCCACCACATATGAAAATACGTCCCAACGTTTTTCTTACATTCCCAACAAGTATTAACCAGATCGGGGTGACATTTCGCTAGTCTATTTGGCGATCGCTGAGTCTTATCTTGTAGCTTCGGCTTGTGACCTTGGTACCTTTCTCCTCTCGCTTTGCTGGGAATGTGAACCTGTTAGTTTAGGCGTGCTGGGCTTTGCCCTCTGATTGGCTCAGCTCCATCGGGGGGGCCCCTCTTTGAATTCCGTATATCCTCCCCCTCTCCCACCTAAAGGGTAGTTCTGACACTAAACCTATGAACAGACAACCTGCCTTTACTGTACTCAATAAACTTGATCCTACTGAAGGAACGTTGTTGGGACTGATTGCTGTGGGAGGGGATGGCCAGTGAGCAACGTAACAGGATTAACTTGCTGAAATCTAAATTGATAAATTAGTGATTACCGTGTTCAGAGCTGCCTAAGCACGTGTGACCCATATCCTGGAAGATCTTTGAATACTGGCTCGGTAATCGGGCATTTTAGGGCAGTCACAAGCAAATGTTCCCTCTAAGCTGTGGAGTCTTGTGAGTAAAAATTCTACTTTGTGAGCTACTGACATTAAAGTTGTGAGCGAGCGATTTGGCTACTGCATAAATTAGTTTGCTCTGGAGCCATCCCTTCCTGAGCTGAGACAAAAATGTGTGAGCCGGAGGCTAAAAAAACTGTGAGCTAGCTCACACTAACTCAGCTTAGAGGGAACACTGGTCACAAGACCAGGTCAGCATGAAGCAGTCAGTGGAAATATCTGGAAGTCATGCCGATCAGGGAAATCACGATCTTGGGGTGGCACAAGAACTTCGAAGTGGGCGGCAGCGGCTGCCTTCTCTGCTTCTTGACACATTTCAGTGGGCCGCCCGTCACTTCTGTCCCGGGCAGATGGAAAGCATTGTTTACGTCCCGGCACGCTTTGTTTGTCAGATGGGATGTGCTGGCTTGTCATTCCTCTGTCGTTACTGAATGAAGGGCCCACTCCTCTGTGTAGCTCGTTTGCAGTTGTCCTCCTTCAGCATAGCTGCACCGCCGTCAGTTATGTGCTGCCGCAAATGGAACACTTCCCAAGAAGTGAGACGTCACTGGCTTCATTGGAGGTTAAGACACCTTGCATCGTCGTACAGTTGAGACCTGATAAAGTTGCCTGCTGCCAAAATAAGTTCATTCTCGTTGCCTGGTTGGGAGTTTTGGTCTTAAGCTAGACAAGCATGAGAAGACCCACCCCTCTTTCCTTTTTTCCCCTTTCAGAGAATGCAGTTGGATATCATACTGACGAGTTTGCAGGATCATACTCACGTCGCATCCTTACTTGGCTACAGCTCGCCGTCTGACGCCACCGACGTTTCCTCTCTGTGTATTGCTTATGGGAATATCTCTGATCCAGTGTATAGCGCCCAGAGTAACCATCCGGACACTCACCTAGCTGAAATTTTAATGAAGACTCTCTTGCGGAATTTAGGGTTCTATACAGTAAGTTGGTATCTAAAATTTTATTTTTATGTGTTATTATTCCATTGTACCAATCCAGGGATCAGTGGAAGAGTCTCTGCTTGATATGCAGAAGGTCCCAGTTTCAATCCCCAGCATCTCCAGTTAAAAGGGCCAGGCAGGAGGTGATGTGAAAGACCTCCGCCTGAGACCCTGGAGAGCTGTGAAGAGGGGCTGTGGCTCAGTGGTAGAGCATCTCCTTGGCATGTGGAAGGTCCCAGGTTCAATCCCCGGCATCTCCAGTTAAAAGGGCCAGGCAGGAGGTGATGTGAAAGACCTCTGCCTGAGACCCTGGAGAGCTGTCAAGAGGGGCTGTGGCTCAGTGGTAGAGCATCTCCTTGGCATGCAGAAGGTCCCAGGTTCAATCCCCGGCATCTCCAGTTAAAAGGGCCAGGCAGGAGGTGATGTGAAAGACCTCTGCCTGAGACCCTGGAGAGCTGTCAAGAGGGGCTGTGGCTCAGTGGTAGAGCATCTCCTTGGCATGTGGAAGGTCCCAGGTTCAATCCCCGGCATCTCCGGTTAAAAGAGCCAGGCAGGAAGTGATGTGAAAGACCTCTGCCTGAGACCCTGGAGAGCTGTCAAGAGGGGCTGTGGCTCAGTGGTAGAGGATCTCCTTGGCATGCAGAAGGTCCCTGGTTCAATCCCCGGCATCTCCAGTTAAAAGGGCCAGGCAGGAGGTGATGTGAAAGACTTCCGCCTGAGGCCCTGCAGAGGAGGAGGAGGAGGACATTGGATTTATACCCTGCCCTTCACTGTGTGAGGGGCTGTGGCTCAGTGTTAGAGCCTCTGCTTGGCAGGCAGAAGGTCCCGGGTTCAATCCCGGGAATCTCCAGTTAAAAAGGACCAGGCAGTGGGTGACAGGAAATATCTCTCTGCCTGAGACCCTGGAGACCGGCTTCCAGCCTGAGTAGTCAGTACTGGCCTTGATGGACCAAGGGGCTGATCCAGGATTAGGCAACTTCATGTATTATAGGCAAGGGCCTGTGGTTCAGAAACAGAGCCTCTGCTTGGCATGCAGAAGGTCCCAGGTTCAATCCCCGGCATCTCCAGTGGAAAGGATCAGGTAGCAGGTGATGTGAAAGACCTCTGCCTGAGACCCTGGAAATCTGCTGCCAGTCTGAGGGAACAAGGCAAGCATTTCTCCTTTTGGGGATCAGGGCGGAAAGCATTGCCCTTGCTCTGAATCGGATTTGGCACATAATTGTGTAGACGCATTTAATTGACTAGGTGGCATTGTGGTATGACAATGTTGGGATTAAATTGCTGTCAAGAAGCACATGTTGTTGTTGTTTTTGGAAAGTGCCATAGCAGCTGTCAACAGGCCATAAAAAAGCACACACACACACACCCAAAAAAGAAAATTAAAAAGGAAATATTTCAGAATATCGGGGGAGATCCATCTTGCTTTTGTACCAGAATATTCACGTAGTGGCTCAGTGGTCAAGACGCTGAGCTGCAGACTGGAAGGTCGGTAGCTCGGCAGTTCGAGGCCCAAGTGCCCGGTGACGGAGTGAGCTCCCGTCTCTGGCCCCAGCTCCCGCCAACCTAGCACTTCGAAAGCAAGACATCGCAAGTAGATAAATAGGTACCACTTCGGTGGGAAGGGAACAGCGTTCCGTGCGCCTCGGCGTCTAGTCAGGCTGGCCACATGACCACGGAAACATCTTTGGACAGCGCTGGCTCTTCAGCTTTGAAACGGAGATGAGCACTGCACCCCTAGAGTTGGATCCTACTGGCTTTTGAGCAAGGGAAGCCTTGACCTTTATTCACTGCTTGCTGTAAGCTGTACAATGAATTTCAAGAAAATTGCCAGGCAGCTCCTTTAATTGCTTTGTTTTTATGTGTAGCGTTTGAGTCCAGGGTCGAGAATAGGCATCCCTTGGTCAGATGCAAGTAGGAATGAGAATCCCCGAGACCTGTTATCCCTGCTGGGCTCAGGCAACTCCACTCCTGACAAAAGGAGCTCTGATTCTCCAACGCTCACGCCCCAGAAATCTCGTGTGTCTTTAAGGTGCTACCGGACTCGGGTCTTGCTCTTCTACCGCAGGCCGACACAGCTACCCACCCGAAACTGTCTGCTTTGTGCGTTATCAGCTGGGTAGGATTCTGACTCCGCACCCTGCCTTGACTCGCTCGGGGCCAGAATCGAAGCCCCGTCAGTCATCACAGGAACCTGACCGACCCCAGTAGGCTGGCTCTCCCATTTTAAGAGTTCATACGTTTCTAGGTAGGGAAGCCTCGGTTAGAGTCAGTGTTCCGTCTAAGCTGAGTCAGTGTGAGCCAGCTCACAGTCTTTTACCCTCTGGCTCACGCATTTTTGTCTCCACTCAAGAAGGATGGCTCCCGTCCAGAGCAAACAAATTCATTGCAGTCGCCAAATCACCTGCCTGCTTACAGCTTCAGTGCCAGTAGCTCACAAAGAAGAAGAACCTTTGCTCACAGGATTCCACAGCTTAGAGGGGAGTCCTTGGTTAGAATGGCCCTTAAAATGATGGCTGCTGTCTCTAGAGCCTGATGTGCACTCTTAACCTGCCGGTGTTCCTTGCCCCCCCACCCCCAGGACCAGGCATTTGGAGAGCTGGAGAAGAACAGCGACAAGTTCCTGCTGGGGACGTCCTCCTCCGAGAACAGCCAGCCGGCCCACCTTCACGAGCTGCTGTGCTCCCTGCAGAAGCAACTGCTGGCGTACTGCCACATCAACAGCGTGAGCGAGGTGAGCAGGCCAGCTCCCAGGCAGGTTGGTGAGCCTAACGCTTCAGGGGTGGGGTGGGGAGGGAAGGGTGGTCAGCACGGAAGGAGGCCTGGCCGGCGTCTGGCTCAAGGCCGCTTGCGGCGCTTGTTTCTCTCAGTTTGGTGTCGTGGTTAGGAGCGTGGGCTCTAATCTGGGAGAACCGGGTTTGAGTCCCCACTCCTCCTCCACATGCAGCTGCTGGTGTGACTTTGGGTCAGTCACAAGTTCTCTCAGAGCTGTTTTTTCAAGGGTAGTTCTCTTCAAGGAGCTCTCTCAGCCCCACCCACCTCACAGGGTGTCTGTTGTGGGGAGGGGAAGGGAAAGGAGATGGTAAGCCGCTCTGAGACTCCTTTGGGTAGTGAAGGGCGGGGTATAAATCCAGTCTCCTCCTCCTCTTCTTCCAGACCTCCAGCAGCGTGGCGCTCCTCCACAAGCACCTCCAGCTTCTCCTTCCTCATGCCACAGACATCTACTCCCGATCCGCCACTCTGCTAAAGGAAAGCTCTTGGAACGGCAGCGTCGGGGAAAAGCTGAGAGGTGCGTCTGGGTGACCGGGGCTGGTGGCTCTGGAAGCAAAGTGGAAGCAGAGGTCCATCAGTGGCTGCAAGCCACCACTTATGGATGGAACACTCTGCCTGGGGCAGTGATGCTCCGTATTCTTGATGCTTGGGGGACCACCGTGGGAGGCCTTCTGGAGTTCTGGCCCCTCTGCGGGACCTCCCGATGGCCCCTGGGTTTTGGCCACTGTCTGACACAGAGTGTGGGACTGGACGGGCCATTTGGCCTGGTCCAACAGGGCTTCTCTTATGAAACTTCGGTGCAGAGCTGCTCTGTGAAGTGCCTCTTTCCCCCCTCCCTTGCAGATGTCGTCTACGTGTCCGCCGCCGGGAGCATGCTCTGCCAGATCGCAAACGCCCTGCTGCTGCTCCCTGTGTCCGTCGCCCGGCCTCTCTTGAGCTACCTTCTCGACCTGCTGCCCCCTCTTGACCGCCTGAATAGACTGCTGCCGGCTGCCGCCCTTTTAGAAGACCAGGAGCTGCAGTGGCCTCTTCACGGTACGGCAGCCCCTCCCCCCCTCCCACCAAAATCAAAAACGGGCGCTCGGAAGTCCCAGCAAGAAGAGCCGTGGCTTGGTTTTGCCGGACGGGCCCCTTTCCCCGCTTGGGGTGCCCTCCCTTGGGAACCGATCCCCTGCCCGTCTGGGAGTATTCAGAATGGATTTGCTTCTGAGGGTGCACAGACGGCATCGCTCGTTCTGGGCTCAGTCGTGCCCTTTGTGGGAGAGCCCCTCCGTGTTTGTTTTGTTTAAATGTTCTGTAGCCACCCGAGCTGCAGCGTTGAGGAGAGTCAAGTAATGAATCAATATACGCTGCAAGTAACGTTCGTCAATTAACGTGTTCTGTTCATGGCTGTCATTCTGTGACGTGCATTGGCAAGCTGTGTGCATGAAAACATTTGCAGCGTGCAGAGAAGGGGGTTGTGTTCGGGGCAGGAAAGCGTTGGAGCTCCCGTACCCGAGACGGACGACTGCTTGCCGAGAATGTTTTAAGATGGGAAATTATCGGTTTGTATTTCCAGGTGGGCCAGAACTTGTCGATCCCGCCGGAGTGCCCTTACCGCAGCCAGCCCAGTCATGGGTGTGGCTGGTTGACCTGGAGAGGACCATCGCTCTGCTTATTGGCCGCTGTCTCGGTGGAATGCTGCAGGGCTCTCCCGTGTCTCCAGAGGAGCAAGATACCGCTTACTGGTTGAAAACACCGCTGTTCAGCGATGGAGTCGAAATGGATATCCCACAGCTGGGTAAGGGGCTCAGCTCTGCAGTAGGAGCTTTAAGGAGTCAGCTTGTGGAAGTAGGCAGGCAGTGAGTGGTAAGTTTGGGAAGGGCTGCCTTGGGGGGGGGGAGAAGAAGGAGAAGAAAATATTGGATTTTATACCCCTCCCTTCACTACCCGAAGGAGTCCCAGAGTGGCTCACAATCTCCTTTCCCTTCCCCTCCCCACCACAGACACCCTGTGAGGTAGGTGGAGCTGAGAGAGCTCTTGACAGAAACTGCCCTTGAGAGAACAGCTCTGAGAGAACTTGTGACTAACCCAAGATCCCACAAGCAGCTGCCTGTGGAGGAGCGGGGAATCAAACCCTGTTCTCCCAGATTAGAGTCCGTGCTCTTAACCACTACACCAAAGTGCATCCACCCACTCGTTCCCTTTGCTCCTAGACAAATCCATGAGCTCCTTGTTGGAGGTGGCCCTCTCCGGAAACGAAGAGCAGAAGCCGTTCGATTACAAGCTTCACCCGGGAGTCTCGGTCTTTGTGGACTTGGCCTTGGGCTGTGCCAAGGAGCCCGCCCGGAGCCTCTGGATGAGCATGCAAGACTACGCCATCAGCAAAGGTGAGTGGGTGGAGCCGGACTGTAATGATTCCATGTTTTGGTGCGTATGTGTGCCTTTAAATGTTTAGTTTGACTGCAATAATGTAAGGAGAGTGATAGGGGGAGATGAGTGTGCTGTTTTTGGCTGATGACTGAGAGTGTGGGAGGAGGGGTGTCTGAGGATTCTGTGATATGAGAGAGATGTCTTTATGACGGAGTTCTGTGTGTAAAGTTTGAAGAGAGAACATGGTCTGTGCGACAATGGAATTTTGAATCTAATTCTGTGTGAATAAGACCAACAGTTTAGTCTGTGTGACTAAGTGCGTTGATTCCATTCAGTGCGAATAAAACAAAGAGACTAGCCTGAGTGAGAAAGAGTATACTGAGTGTATAAGCAGAGTGGAGTTTGGAGTTTGAGAGACTGTTTGTGGCACCAAGCTTTGCCAGTTGTATTTACAAGTTCCTTCCGTCAGCATCTGTTCAAAATAACCAGAAACCTATTTTGTTCTTTATTAAATAGATCAATTTTTGTTTAAACTTATCCCAGAAATCAGTACAGTCCTTTCTCAGGGCCACATAGTCCTCTGAAGTGCCCAGACCCTAGGTCATTCTACCAAAACAGAGAGATTTCGAATTTTTAATTCCTGGTGGCAGCAGAAATCAACCAAGTTTATGTACACGGAGAGTGTTTTAAAGGTAAAACCGTCTCCCCAATAAACAGCACGCCAGACAAGCCCAAAGCATTAATTCTGAGCAGTTTCCAAATAGCCTTCAAGGGTGGCCCCAAGTAGAGTGCATTACAGTAGTCAAGCTTCCTTTTAGTAAGCACCAGGAACTAGTTAGGAGACTTGGAGTCAAAGAGCAGCTGAGTGCTGAGCTTAGTGGATGGTGAAATAGTTTGTCCCCCTCCCCACCACCCTGTTTTCTGAATTAAATGGACTTCTGAAGCATTTTGCCTACCACAGTTGCAAACAATTGATGTGATTCTTAATCCTTGTGGTCTTCTTTCAGCATGCCTTGAGTAAAGCCATATTATTTCCTGTCTCTGAACGTTTGGGTTTATGTCGTTGAGGGTAAATCGGCAGGCTGTTAGGTTGTCACGTTACTGTTCAAACTGAGATATCTCAGGGAACTCATTTCCTCCCGCCCCTCTGTAGATTGGGACAGCGCCACCTTGAGCAACGAGTCGCTTCTGGATACCGTGTCTAGATTTGTTCTCGCTGCTCTGCTGAAACATACGAATTTACTTAGTCAAGCAAGTGGCGAGAGCAGGTAAGTAACCAAAAAACAGCCTGAGATATTTCGGCCTCTTCTTGAGGTGCTATCCACCTCTCACCGATATGGAACTTGTGCTGCCTTTGTGGACCCGATTGGTCAGAAAGGCGGCTTAAAACTGTTTTAAATAAGTAAATAAGTGTTGTGTCTTTAGGTATCAGCCTGGCAAAGCGCTAGTAGAGGTCTACCGGTGCGTCTACAAGGTCCGGAGTCGTTTGTTGGCTTGCAAGAACATGGAACTTATTCAGACGAGGTCATCCTCGAGAGAGAGATGGGTGAGGCCGGAGAGAATCCCGTCACGTGGCTCTTTCTGTGCATTGTGGGAAAACATCGTTAAACAGAAGTCTGCGTGATCGGACCACTTCTTTGGGGCTCATAACTTTTAAAATAATGTTTGCAACATTAAAGCGAGGGGCATTGTGTGATTCCCTGTCTCGGAAGAAGGAGGCCCACAGTTGTTCCTGCCCGCCACTTGATGTGGGTACAGCTTTCAGGCTTCCCTACCGAGCCAAGATAGCAGAGGAGTCCTAGGTATCATAGGATCATAGAGTTGGAAGGGAGCTCCAGGGCCATCTAGTCCAACCCCCTGCATGATGCAGGAGATTCATAACTGCAGGGATCCCTTGAGTAATTAAAGAGGTTGTATTAATACACTCACCACAAGAATAGCGACTGGGGAGTGCTGTACTGTCACTGCACATCTCTTCTAAAGTTGTACGTAATCATCCTGTGGAGCTGTATTCGAGTCCAGCAGCACTTTAGGGGGCAACAAGATTTTCAGGGTGTATGAGCTTTCAAGAGTCGAAGCTCCCTTTGTCAGATACTCTTGAAAGCCTGAGAGCCAGTTTGGTGTCGTGGTTCGGAGCGCAGACTCTAATTTGGGAGAACCGGGTTTGATTCCCCACTCCTCCACGTGCAGCTGCTGGTGTGACCTTGGGTCAGTCACAAGTTCTCTCAGAGCTGTTCTCAGCCCCAGTTCTCGAGAGAGCTCTCTCAGCCCCACGTACCTTACAGGGTGTCTGTTGTGGGGAGGGGAAGGGAAAGGAGTCTGTAAGCCCCTCTGAGACTCCTTCGGTTAGTGTAGGGCGGGGGTATAAATCCAACCTCCTCTTCCTCTTGCTCCTCCTCCTCTTCTATATGCCAGAAAATCTAAGGTCCTGGATTTGAATCTAGCTCTTCTACCGCAGACCGACACGGCTACTCTCTGAAACCATAATCATTCTGTGTTCTTGGCAGACTAGTCAGGCTGCTGCTTTGCTGCGTATCCAGCCGCGTAGCGCAGAAGAACCGCACATCTCTCCTGTTGCTCAGGACGACATCTGAGCGGTCATTATTGCCTAGGGAGCGTGGTGTGTTCTTAAAAGCACGTCGCTTTCCTGGAATCTGTTGCTCCGCGGGAATCTAGTCTTCCCCGTGTGATCATATGATTCTGCTTCTCCCCTCCCCCCTTAAGATGTCGGAAAATCCGGACTCTGCCGACCGCGAGGGCCAGGAGCACTCCTTCACCCGGACCATCGATGAAGAGGCGGAAATGGAAGAGCAGGCGGAACGGGAGCGCGGGGAGGGGCACCTGGAGCAAGAAGACGAAGAGGAGGAGCGGGAGCACGAAGTGATGACCGCAGGCAGTAAGTTGGCTTGGGGGGGGGGACCCGGCATGATCTGCTCAGGGGACGACGACAAACGGGACTTATGATTTGGAGTCGGTCCGCCCAACGGACAAGTTTGCCTGAAGATGTCTGTATCGCCCTTGAGCTCTGCCTAGACGTTAAGACCTTCTGTTTCTTTTCTTTTTTTTGTGTCGCATGTTACAGAAATATTTCAATGTTTCCTATCAGCCCGTGAGGTCGCCCGCAGCCGGGACCGGGAGCGAATCAACGGCGGGGCAGGGGTTCGAGCGGACGAGCAGCCCCCTCAGTCCCAGCCAGAGCGCCGAGGCAGCGGAGACCTCCCCGAGGGGCAGGACGTGTACACGGCCGCCTGCAACTCTGTGATCCACAGGTGCGCCCTGCTGATCTTGGGGGTCAGCCCCGTGATCGAGGAGCTGCAGAAACGCAGGGAGGAGGGGCAGCTGCAGCAGCCGTCGGCAGGCACCCCAGAAGGGACCGGGCTGATGACCAGGTGAGATCGTCGGGCGACGTGCCCCCGGGTGTGCTTTGAAGCCTTGCTGAGTGAGGGTGGGGCGAGTGGCGTGAGGCTTGTGGGAAGAACCTGGCGAGTGGGGTCCCATTTCTGTACACGGCAGCTGTCACGGCTCAGGCGGGGTGTCACCTGACGCTGCCACCACTCTGGTTCCAGGCTCCTCTGAGAAGGCCCAGAGCACCCTCCCAGGCCTTTAGACCTCCCTTTTGGCCGAATAACAGGCGTGAGGACCAGGCAGAGTGAACAATGAAAATAGTTTATTTTATAGGAGGTCAAACAAACAAGGTGCAGGAATAATAACAATAAGTGGGTGAAAAGAAAAGAAATCAAATGCCCTAACGCGTCTAAATATATACTGTCCCTAGCTCACTATCTCAAGTGGCCTTAGACTACTCGCTCTTCCCGCAGGATGAGGGTCTCTTCCCCACAGCAGCCTCTCTCCTGGCTCTGTTCCCTGGGAGGAAGAACAGCTTTTCCTCTAGTACCAGTTCTTATATTCCCCAGCCATCTTCTTCCATATTGGTCAAAATCGGCGCCAAAACTTCCCAAGGCCCTCCCCTACTGCTAGCCAGGCTCCCTGGGCCTAGTAGGCCTCTGGTGACACAGCCCAGATCATGACAGCAGCGAAGACTCATGCACAGATAGGGTTGCCAGCCTCCAGGTGAGGCCTGGACATCTCCCGCTTTTCCAGCTGTTCTCCATACTGCAGATATCAGTTCCCCCTGAGAAAACGAGCTACTTCGGAGGGTTGGCTCTAGGGCATTGTCCCTTGCTGAGGTTCCTCCCCTCTCCAAACCCCGTCCTTCTCAAGCTTCACCACCCCCAGATCTCCAAGTATTTCCCAACCCAGAGCTGGCAACCCCGTGCAGCGTAGAGCTTTCCCCTGTCCCTGACTTGAGGGGAGGAGGCGAATGCAGAGCCATTCCTCGCACGGATTAGGAAGGCATTAAGCAGATGAAAATTGCCGTGACAGCCAGGCCCATAGCTATGGTGGGGCTTTGGGGGACTCCGCCCCCTTTCTTAAAGGCACAGCCCCACAACAATTTCTCCTGTAAATGCAGTTTTCAAATCATTATAAAACCTTTTTTTAAAGGTGTGTGCTCCTTTAAGCAGAGTGGGGGGCTGTCGTTGACTAATTCCCACACTGAGCAAGGAGGCTGGACTAGGTGGCCTCTGGGATCCCTTCTAACCCTGTGTCATGAAACTTAACTCCTTGAAGAGAGCTTTTCTGCCCAAGGGTTGGCTTTCTTGACTATAGAAGTCATCACCCCCCACCTGCCGGCTTGTTCTCAGAATTGTGGCTTCGGCTGGCAGAAGTGATTTCACTTGCAGCAGCTGAGAACTGGCCTCTAAAGTGACTGACGGCTTGCAGTTCAGAGCTCTATCCTGGTAACAGCTTTCCTGTTGGCTCGATGGCTTGTCTTTCTGCACTGAGAACTTCAGCCCCACCAGGAAGAAATTTGCCCCACAAGATCCTGGCTACGGGTCTGGGGACAGCTGATCCTGGTGGTGATCAAGTGAAACATCTCTCTCTCTCTCTCTCTCTCTCTCTCTCTCTCTCTCTCTCTCTCTCTCTCTCTCTCTCTCTCTCGCTCTCTCGCTCTCTCTCTCTCTCTCTCTCTCGCTCTCTCTGTCTCTCTCTCTCTCTGACTCTCTCTCTCTGGCTCTCTCTCTCTCTCTCTGGCTCTCTCTCTCTCTCTGTCTCTCTCTCTCTCATTTTTGTATGTGCACGAGGCAGAAGTGAGAGTCTTACCGCAGAGAGCCGGTCGGTCCACTCCACTTCCAGTTACAAACTGATGAAATCCAGGAGCGAATCTGATTTATCTCAGCCTGAATCAGACGAAGAGGGTTATTCACTGGTAAGTGGAAATAAGTGGGCATGTCATTGCTGGCTGTAACTGCCCGACCTGTGAGTCGACAGACAGTGGTGTAGGTTTGGCAGGCAGGTTCGAAGCCTTGGCCTTGGCCGTGCCACGGCCTCAGAATGCACGAGAGCAATGTGGATGCCGTGGGTTCGTCCCTCCTGGTTTTTGGGCCTCTTCCTCCAGCCTGGCCTTACCAATGGACTTTGAGACTCTCTTTGCACTTGAGGAGACACTTGCAGTGTGGGACGAAGCGCTGCCTTGAGTGCGAATCAGAATCCTCGTGAGGCTTAGAATCAAGAGTAAAAGGGGCGTTTCCAGGCTTGCAACAAAACACTATTGACTGAGCTTTTAAAGCTCTTTAAGGACTGTTGCCACGAGCCTAAGATTTGCAAAGATGTGTATGGAAATTCATAGAATCATAAAATCATAAGAGTCGGAAGGGACCTCCAGAGTCATCTAGTCCAACCCCCTGCACAATGCAGGAAATTCGCAAATGCCTCCCCCACACACACCCAGTGACCCCCGTTCCATGCCCAGAAGATGACCAAAAGACCCCTCCAGGATCTCTAGCCAAATTGGCCTGGAGAAAAATTGCTTCCTGACCCCAAAGTGGCGATCGGCATTTACCTGAGTGTGTAGGAAAGGGCCACAAGAACTAAGCCCTGAGGCAGCCCTTCCTGCCCTCCCTCTCAGGATCTGCCCAAGTTCACACAATCAGCATTGCTGTCAGAGGGCCATCCATTTTCTCACCTTGACCCAGAGAGTCCTCCATCTTTCTGTGTTATACCTCTGAGGGTGCCAGTCACAGCTGCTGGCGAAATGTCAGGTCCTACAATGCCAAGACCACGGCCATACAGCCCGGAAAATGTACAACAACTAACCAACATCAGGCCTCTGTTTGAAAACCTCCAAAGAAGGAGAGCCCCCCCACCTTCCGACCAAAGACATTCAAAAGCAGAATGTCTCCGGAAGGCTGGCTGATGAAGCTTTGGGGAGGGTGTGTAGTGTGTTAGGATAGTTTGTACTGCTAGTTGTTGATGGCATATAACTTCCAAATGAATGAGCCGCTCCATTGTTTAGACAGGTGAAAGAAATCACAATTTTTTGTTTGTTTGCTGCAGAGCGGAAGGCGAAATGTGGATTTGGACTTGGCGTCATCGCACAGGAAGAGGGGTAATTTTTTTTGCTTTTTGGTGCTAAGTTTTGAGAGTACCATGTTTGAAAACCAGAGCTGTTCAGACAAACAGTTTAGCTTTATTTTCAGAGAGGAGCCATGCTGGTCTGCAGTAGCTCAGTTAGCAAGAGCTGTGGGAGGTAGGCTTTTGAGAGGCAAGGCTCCCTCCGTCAAACACGAACAGAGTAGAAATGGAGGTGCCCGGGTCCCTTTATCCAAGTCAGAAGGTGAAAGGGGTGTTGCCAAGGATGCTGGTGCCAGTCGCAGGACTCCTGGCACGCTGCTGAGGATTCTGGGAAGTGTTCTGGGGCTTGCTGTCGATTCACACGGGCACTGGGCAGCCTCGAACCTCACCAGCACTATGTGTGGACTGAACGTGCCTCCCAGAATGCATCCCAAGCGATGCTCCCGTTAAGCTGTGGGGTCTTGTGAGCAAAAAGTCAGCTTTGCGAGCTACTGGCGTCAAAGTTATGAGCGAGCCGTTCGACTACTGCATAAATCAGTTTGCTCTGGAGCCCTCCTTCCTGAGCTAAGTCAAGAATCTGTGAGCTGGAGGCTAAAAAACTGTGAGCTAGCTCACGCTAACTCAGCTTAGAAGGGAACATTGAATTCCCAAGGGGCCTTTTGTAACCAGGAGAATATCCGTAATCTGTCAATAAATGAAAATCCCAAAGAGCCCCAGACCACCACTGGAAAACCACTGCACTTAAAGCGTTTTGGGCATTCAGTGTTTTAGGCCAGAGAATGCTGAGCCGGGGGCACAATTGCTACATTCCTCGTGCCTGGGAATGTCCTGGTGATCCTTGGCTGCCGGAGTGCAGGCGGGTGCCACGTGCTGCTTACTGGTAGGGTCGTGGCCCTTGCCCACCGTGCTGGGGGAGAGAAGCCCCTTGAGTGACCCCATGATTGCCCAGTCCTTTCAGACCACCCCGTACCCTGTACATTCCCCTGCCTTTGTTGGACGCAGGAGGTTTCTTTGGCCTGTCGGGCCTTGTCCTGCTTGCTTCCAGCCTGGGAGGCGGCTTGGGAGACTTATTTGTTGTTTCTTTATTATTTATATATCAAAATATTTATAACCCCGCCTTTCCTCGTGGCTCAAGGTTGCTTCAGTTCCCGAGCTTGCGCCCGACCCCGTCCCACCCTGGCGCCGCTCCCCTTACTATTTATTTTATTCCCAAAATTTATATCCCGCCTTCCTGCCCTCGCGAGGGGCCGCCAAGGTGGCTAGCAGTCTAAAACGCACAGGGTAAAATCACAGCCTTTGGAATGCCGCTTCGGGGCAGAATCCTTGTCGGGCTTTGGAGGGGTTATGGAGCCGCACCTCCTCAGCTGGAGCCCTGGCCCCGGTTGGGGGCCTGACGGTGTCCCGAAACCAGAGACGGTTTCCATGCCGCCCCACAACGTTCATGGTCCCTGGTTGGCAAGCAACACATTTTTATTTATTTATTAGTCTAATCTATACCCCGCCCCTCCCTGCCGAGGCAGGCCCAGGGCGGCTGACATATAATATAAAACAATTAAAACAGTAAAAACAGGGCAATGCAGTTATAAATATTATTATAAAATATAAAGTGCTAGTTCCTGTCAGATGGCGGGCTTAGCAGCGTCCTCAGACAATAGCATAGTCTGGGTTAGCTGGTTCTTGACAACATCGTTAGTGTCGTACCAGAGCTACAATGTCTTGGGTGCAGCTCCCTAATCAAAGGCCTGGTGGAAGAGCTCCATCTTGCAGGCCCTGCGGAACTGTAAACCCAGCAGAGGATCCCTTTTCAAGGCCTGTCGCTCCAGTCAGGAACGGGAGCTTGGTCTTGTAGAAGTGTCCAAGCTCAGTAGCGCAAAGACTGTTTACGGGTGTAGGAAGTGGTGTCACGTCCAAAGCTCCCTCTAAGCTGCGGAGTCTTGTGAGCAAAAATTCTGCTTTGCGAGCTACTGGCAGTAAAGTTGTGACTGAGCGATTTGGCCACTGCAGAAATCAGTTTGGTCTAGAGCCCTCTTTCCTGAGCTGAGACAAAAATGGGTGAGCTGGAGGCCAAAAACCTGTGAGCTGGCTCACACTAACTCATCTTAGAGGGAACCCTGGTCACGTCAGTACCTGAACGCAGCAATTCTAGGAGTGGCACACTTAAGAGGCACTGTTGAAACGTTAATGTTGCCCCTTTCTTAAAACTGTTTGCCGTGAATGGGCAGAATTGCTGTATGTCGTCTCCTGTACCAAAAATGTCTCTCTTTGTCTTCTGATTCTTGTGTGGTAGTGTGTTTGCTCCTTTTTGGCCAGTTGAGCCCCAGAAAAAAGAAGAACTCCAAGCAAGTACACGATGGCATGTTCTGGTTTTTATTCTATCCTCTCTGGCTTGCCTACATATTTTATGTCTTATAAAGTATGTATTGCAGCTGTTTCCCCACATTTCATTTTTGGAAGTTCCATTACTAGAAACTGGCACATAAGGACAAGTAAACGCATTTGGCTGTTTCCCATGTTCAAGAATGTGCTGTAAAAATATTCTTGATCCCGAGCTAATGTCTGATTGCTGAGAATGTCTTAGCATGCTTCTGTATATGTTCGGGAGACTAGCGCCGAGAGAGGGTGGAGGAAGCGCATGCTTTACCTTTTGCAGACACCGCATTCATTCCCTGGCCAACCCCCACTGATGGGAATGGAAAAGACCAGTCCCATCTGTGACCCTCATGGGATCGGGTCTGTGAGACTCACAGCCTGTCAGATAGATCGTACTGGGGAAGGTGACTCATGGGGCCTATAGAATGTAGCTCCTCGTGTACCAGAAGAACTTGCTACATCAGATCAGGCGGCTACCCCCAGTTCCATGTCCCTGGTGCGAGTTCAGCCCTCTGGCACTGTTGCAGGCTCCTGAACAACTCAAGAGTCCTCCTCCTCGGTATCTTCCGTCTGTGAAAAAAAGGCGCTTGTGTGCGCTTCTTCAAATCATAGAATGTTAGAGTTGGAAGGGACCTTGCAGGTCATCTAGTCCAACCCCCTGCACTCTGCAGGAGCATAGCTGAAAGACAGCCCTTCATACCTACAACATATCCGAAAGAGGGTCGTCCAGCCTCCGCTTGAAAACGTCCAGCGAAGGAGCCTCCACCACCTTCCGAGGGAGACTGTTCCACTGCTCAACCACTCTTACAGTTAGGAAGTTTCTCCTGATATTTAGTCGGTATTGACTGCCTTGTAATTTCCACCCATTGGATCTAGTCTTGCAATCCAGAGCAAGAGAGAATAGATCTGCTCCATGTTCTACATGACAGTCCTTCAAATACTTGAAGACTGCAATCATGTCCCCTCTACACCTCTTTCCCAGGCTAAACATCCCCAACTCTTTCAGTGTTTCCTCATAAGACTTGGATTCCAACCCTCTCACCATCCTGGTTGCCCTCTTCCAGACACAGATAAATCTTTATCTCTATCTGCTTTCAGTCCTCTAGTTTGTGCAAGGAATACTTCTTCAACAAAGAAGGCTTGAAATTGAAGCAAGTTTTTTTTTAAAAACCCTGTAAAAACAAGCCCAACACCCTTTCAGTATTCAGGGATTAACACCAGCCAGCATCCACATTAGCTTTATGTGCAGAAAATGTGGTGTTTCCAAGCAAAGCTGCCGTGCACAGTGGTAAGGAACAGTGGTAAGGATTGAGAGAGTGTGTGGGTAAGAGAGAATGCAGTTTTTCTGGTGTCTGCTCTGGATTTTCCCAGAGCCCTGGTGTCAGTTTACGGCAAGCCTGCAGTCGAGGCCGGTCTGAGCCTCCGGGCGACGGTCAGGAGGGCACGTGTCTTTGTGGGGGGCTGCTGGGAGCCTCCGAAGGTGCCCAGGAACGTAGAGGGTTCAGTGCCCACACTTCCGTCGCGCAGGCACTTGCTGCCAAAATGTGGCACTCCTTTGGTTTCCTCGGAGGGAAGTCAATCCAGACCGGATTCAGAATTCGTGTTCAGAGCGCTTGCCTTTTGTGCAGGCCTTTTTAATCTGGATGGCTGGAAGGTCCACAGAGCAGTCGTAGAATAAATCTGGAGAAGGGGAGAGAGGTGTTCGTGCGAGGGCTTAATAAGGAAAGTATTTCCAGTTCGCGAAGCAGAGAGTCGTGTGAGCAGGGGGGTGGGGACGAGCGGGTGCCTTGGAAATGCTGAATATCTCTTCCAATTCTGACAGATAAAAATCCCATGGCTCATAGTGTACATGGCGCACTCTCTGCGTTACACACAGTTACACCAGTTTGGTGTTGTGGTTAAGTGCGCGGACTCTAATCTGGGAGAACCGGGTTTGATTTCCCACTCCTCCACTTGCACCTGCCTGGATGACCTTGGGCAAGCCATAGTTCTGTCAAAGCTGTTCTTTTTGTGGGGAGGGGAAGGGAAAAGGAGATTGTCAGCCACTCCAAGACTCCTTTGGGTAGTGAAGGGCAGGGTATCAATCCAATCTCCTCTTCTTCTCCTTCTCTCTTCTCTCTTCTTCTCCTCTCTTCTCTCACCTTTCCTCCAAGAGGTTCAGAGTGGTGCGGAAGTTTCTCACCACCTTTATTTTATCCTCACAACAGCCCTGTGAGGTAGGCTGGCCCCAGGAGAGTTCACTGGCCCGAGGTCACCCAGCGAGCTTCCATGGCAGAGAGGGGATTTGAACCCGGCTCTCCCAGGTCCCAGTTTGGCACTCTGACCCTTACGCCATCCCATCCCAGTGCATTGGCCAGTGGAACATGTCGAATCACCCCAACTGACTCTTCAGTTAGTGGAACGAGTGCTATAGAAGACAGAAGTAGAGTCGTTTGGGCGACCTGAATGGACTAATTACTGCTCGCATTTATTTAAAAAAACATTTCAAATCTGTCCTCCTCCCCACCCAACCTCAGGCCTATTTCCATACAAGTTTGTCATAAATACATACAGGAAATTGCTCCGAGTCGAGCTGTAATCCCCCCCGCCCCCAATTTTGATAGCCTTCACATTTCAAGACACAGAACTTGCCATTTGCTGTATTGGGTTTTTTGGGGGGGGGGGTTTAACTCTTGTATGTGGACGTGAAGATGATAAGCAGAGTGGTTTATTTCTGTGCACGTGAGACGTGGATGAGAGGGATTCATCTGGTTGGGTGGGGGGAGTGGAAGTCACTGCGGGCAGCCGCTGCTAGGGACGTGTGAGTGGGCAGCATCTGAGACAAGGCTATGCATCGAGAAACCACGTGGCCTGTGAGCAAGAGGGCTGGCAGAGGGCCTCGGTGGTGGAGCGGCAGGCTCTGGTGCCGTCCAGGTGGTCCCCTAGCCTCTGCGGATCAGCAGGTGAGGGGTTCCGGAGGCCTGCCTCTCGCACACGTTGCCCTTGGCCAGAAAGGTCATGTTGCACAGGCAAGTCAGTCTTCATGACTGTTTCCCAGGTGCCATCAGGAGGTCCACCAGCGGGGCCAGAACTCCAGAAGCCCTCCCGCTCTTGCCCCCCAAATCTCCAGGAATTAAGGACATAAGAGAAGCCATGTTGGATCAGGTCAATGGCTTGTCCAGTCCAACACTCTGTGTCACACAGAGGCCAAAACCCAGGGGCCATCCGGAGGTTCACTAGCGGGGCCAGAGCTCCAAAAGCCCTCCCACTGTGCCCCCCCCCCCAGCACCAGGAATACAGAGCATAAGAACGTAAGAGAAGCCATGTTGGATCAGGCCGATGGCCCCTCCAGTCCAACACACAGTGGCCAAAAATACCAGGTGCCACCAGGAGGTCCCCCAGGAGGGCCCTAGTGCATCCACAGCTTTGCCCCCAAGCTCCCCGACCAACGCCGACTCCACAGAAGGCGCTTTGGAAGGGAAGGCAGAAGCACAGCGATTCCCTGTGGGTTTACCCGCCCTTGTCCTCGCCCCCATCCCTTTCCCTGCTTAAGTATGCCATTCAAAGCAAGCTAGGAATCATCCGCCGGCTTTGCCCATAACGGTGCAGTAACCGGATCGAACCCTTGCTTTACGCACGTATGTAAATTTAAAAAACACTAAGCGCCCAGTTTATTTCGTGGCCGCCTCTTCCTTTCCCCCAGTAACCACAAGCTGTTGTTTTGTATGCCGTGCCATCTTTATCCACTCTTCTAGCTTTCAGCCGAGCCATTTGAGTGGCTTCCGCCTTCCGTTTCCTTCCGCGGCCATGTGTCACTTAAGGGAAATACAACAGGAAAAAACATGGCGGAAGTCGTCCCCCCCCCCCCTTTTGTACTATAATTTGCTGACTGTGTGCATGATATGACAGGAAGCCGCATTCCCATCTGTTTGAACTGCAAGCTGCTCAGTCATTTCTGTTGTCATCTTCCAGCCCCACCCCCCCGCTCTCGCTATCGCGCGCTCTCTTCTGTCTCTCTCTCTCTCTCTGTCTCTCTCTGTCTCTCTCTGTCTCTCTGTCTCTCTCTCTGTGTCTCTCTGTGTCTCTCTCTCTCTCTCTCTGTCTCTCTCTCTCTCTCTCTCTCTGTCTCTCTCTCTCTGTCTCTCTCTCTGTCCCTGTCTCTCATTTGTTTTAAAAAAGCTGTGCCAGTGACCTGGAGTTCATGGCGGCCTCTCTTGTGTGTTGCTAGGAGTCGTCCACAGCCCGATGGAAGCCCTGAGCGACTCGTGGACGCGGCTGAAGCACAGCAGGGACTGGCTGTACAGTTCCACCTGTTCGTTCGGGGAGTCGGATATCGATTTCACCAAGTCCGTCGGAGTCCACACCCTGATCGAGAACGTCGTCAGCTTCGTGAGCGGAGACGTGGGCAACCCCCCAGGCTTTAAGGAGCCCGAAGAAAGCATGTCGACGAGTCCCCAGGCCTACATTGTCGCCATGGAGCAGCAGCAGCTGAGAGCGGAGGTGAGCTCTTCCTTTCGGTCACGGAACGCGCCACGCTACCTGCGTCCCGTGCCCAGGTGTGGCAGGTGGGGGGAGCAGGGCCTTTCAGCTTGCTGGCCCATCCGGACCTTGTGTTTGGGGAGGGGCCACGGGTCAGCGGCACAGCCTCTGCGTTGCATTCAGAAGGTCCCAGGTTCTCCAGTTAGAAAGGACCAGGCAGTAGTTGATGGGAAAGCCCTCCACCTGAGACCCTGGAGAGCGGCTGCCAGTCTGAGTAGACAATACTGACCTTGATGGACCAAGAGTCTGAGTCAGTATAAGGCAGCTTCATAGAGAGAGGGGCCATGGTTCAGTGGCAGAGCCTCTGCTTGGCATGCAGAAGGTCCCAGGTTCAATCCTCAGCATCTCCAGTTGAAAGGACTCGGCAGGAGGGGATGTGAAAGACCTCCGCCTGAGACCCTGGAGAGCTGCAAAGAGGGGGTGTGGTTCAGTGGCAGAGCCTCTGCTTGGCATGCGGAAGGTCCCAGGTTCAATCCCCGGCATCTCCAGTTACAAAGGACAAGGCAGTCGGTGATGGGAAAGACCTCTCCCTGAGACCCTGGACAGCAGTTGCCAGTCTGAGTAGACAATACTGACCTTGGTGGCCCAAGGGTCTGACTCAGCGTGTGCGTTCATGTCTCTGAGACAGCCGTGTCCTGGGGGAAGTGGGGGTGCCTTCCCAATGGGAGACGTGTGCCCAAACGTATTTCCTTCTTGTTCTCCTTGGCTGTCGACACCTCGTTGACACCTTAGCAGTCAGCCAGTCCAACTGTAGTTCCTCGGAACTGCGGGCTCTGAAGCTGCTGTTCATTTATTGATCAAATTTGTACCTTGCCCTCCCCACTGAGGCCGGCTCAGTTTCTGTTTTTCAGACAGAGTTACGCTCACTGTCATGCACTGCCAGTGGCCTCAGATGCCAGGGAGATGGCAGGGAACTCTTTCAAGTGCAGCCATCGGCTGGGCAGTGTTGCCTAGCCTGGTAGTATGCTGTGCTTGCCGCCAGTTGGAAGGGGGGGGGGACTTTTGGAAGCCGTTGAGGCAGCATGGCTTGCTGGCAGCATGTTGCCAGCCCACCATCTCTCGTTTTTATTTATTCCTGGCTTCTGACCAGTGTTCCTCCAGGGGTCATTTCGTAGAAAAAGAGGTGCAGGAGCTCATTAGCATAACTCATTAGCATAACTTATTAGCATAGGCCACACCCCCTGGCCTCACTGGAAGTGTGTCAGAAGGCAACACCCACCGCTCAGGCTCCACTGGACTCTTTTTGATTGCTAGCTATGGGGGGGGGGGACGTGCAGATCTGCCCTCACAGAGGAGGGAGATCTTTTACCTGAATAAAACTTGGCTTTAAAGGTGCCACTGGACTGTTTTGGATTGCTATTGGGGGGGGGGGCTCTGCAGCTTACCTGGCTGCTTCTTGCTCTGACGGAGGGCTGCTGGGAGCAGGGGGTGGGGCTTGTTGCATGTGCCCGCCCCCTGGGCTCTTTACTGCCGGAGCTTCGCTCCTGTGCGCTCCTGCAGGAAATGACCCCTGGTTCCCTCTAAGCTGAGTGAGTGTGAGCTAGCTCACCGTTTTTTAGCCTTCAGCTCACAGATTTTTGTCTCAGCTCAGGAAGGATGGGGCTCCAGAGCGAACTAATTTATTGCAGCAGCCACATCGCTCGCTCACACCTTTAAGGCCAGTAGCTCACAAAGTAGGATTTTTGCTCTCAGGACTCCACAGCTGACCTTGAATTGCTGTTGTCAGTTTACCCATTCTGCGGTGTTTGTGTGTGTTTGTACCGACACAGTGCCTGTATTGATGCACGTGAGTCATCTTGTCTCCCGTGCCAAGCACTGTGTGAAAAATTGCTTTTTAATAGCTGCGTCTGGAAGCCCTCCATCAGATCCTGGTGCTGCTTTCCGGGATGGAAGAGAAAGGCAGCGCCCCCTCGGGTGGGAGCCGCCAGGGGCCAGGGTTTCCGTCTTCCTCGCTCCTCACGTCCGTGAGGCTGCAATTCCTGGCCGGGTGCTTCGGCCTGGGTACCGTTGGGCATGCAGGAGCCAAAGGGGAGAGCATCCGTCTCCATCATTATCAGGTGAGAGACGGCCGTGGGAGGGGAGGTGGGCGGGCCAGGCGTTGGCATCCTGTCTAATTCAGTGCAGGGGGAATTTCTGTTCTTAAAACCGATCGCTCTTCATAGAGCCACAGACTCACAGAGTGGGAAGGGGCCATGCAGACCATCTAGTCCAACCCCCTGCCCAACGCGGGACTAGCCTGGATCGTCTCTGACAAATATTTGTCCAGCCTCTTCTTTTTTCTTTTAAATTTCATTTAAGTGTTAAGTGCAAACAAAAGCATTTCAACATCTAAGTAACATACAATGCAGAATTTTAACAGAGTAACAAGACAAATAGGCTAACATAAGCTTCAGAACAGAAGGGGTAATGGTGCAACAAGAAGGTATCACTTACGCGTTGCCTGAGAGTACTATATACTGGTGTGGACATAAACATGAGCACGAACATGAATAACGAGGGTCATCTAGAGTGCTGTGTTGTCAAAGATTCAAGAGTATCGCTTAGTTAAAAATGAAGCCACGATGCAAAGTTCGGATTTTTTGGCAGGAGATAGTTTTCTGCCATAATTGTCCAGCCTCTTCTTGAAAGCTGTCAGTGAAGGGGAGCTCACCACCTCCCCAGGCAGCTGATTCCACCTTTGAACCACTCTGACTGTGAGAAAGTGTTTCCTAATATCCAGCCGATACCTTTCTGCGTGTAATTTAAACACGTTGCTTCGGGTCTTGTCCTCTGCTGCCAAGTGGAACAGCTCCTTGCCCTCCTCCAAAAGACAGCCTTTCAGATATTTAAAGAGAGCAATCCTGTCCCCCCTCAGTCTCCTCTTTTCCAAACTCAACATTCCCAGGGCCCTCAGCCTTTCCTCGTAGGGCTCAGTCTCTCTTCTTACAGTACTGCAGTCAAACTAAACATTTAAAGGAACATACACACCTAAACATGGAATCGTTACACCTTGTTTCTCCTAACTGTCACTTCCGTGCAAAGCCGGCCGGGTGCCCTGCGTCCTTCCTAGTTTTGGGCGGCTTTTCCTCTCGTTTGTGCGGTCTGAGGATTCGTGTGGGTTTGGTTTGTCATACAGGACGGCATCAGGGCAGCAAAAAGGAGCATCCAGACCGAGATCCAGGTGGCCGTGCATAAGATTTACCAGCAGTTATCCGCCACGCTGGAAAGAGCACTGCAGGCAAATAAGCACCACATAGGTAAGGGGGCCGGAGTGGGTGGTGCCCATCATTTTCTTTTGGACAGAAAACAGTTCCAATTTTGCATTTGTGCTGTTTTTTTAACCCCTCTCTTCTTCCGCTGGTGCGTTAGAGGCACAGCAGCGCCTCCTGCTGGTGACCGTCTTTGCCTTGAGCGTTCACTACCAGCCGGTCGACGTCTCCTTGGCCACCTCCACCGGCCTGCTGAGCCTCCTGTCCCAGCTGTGCGGCACGGACACCATGCTCGGCCAGCCGCTGCAACTCTTGCCCAAAAGCGGCGTCTCCCAGCTCAGCACGGCTCTAAAAGTGGCCAGCACCAGACTCCTCCAGATCTTGGCCATCACCACAGGGTAAGCGCGGGAGGATTAAACGACCTCTTCTTTACGGCCATCCGAGGACACCGTTTTGCGATGGGAGGCCACCGAGGAAGGGCCTGCAGGGGGAGGCAGTGGCAAAGCCCACCTCTGCTTTTCACTTGCCTCGAAAGCCCCTTGCTGAGGTCGCCCTAAGTCATTTGAGACTGGATGGCACGTGCGTACACGTAAATGGCGTGGGAACTGAAGAGCTGTGCATCTCCCCTCCTTGAAAGGGGAAAAGAGGTCAGCAGTATGCTGATTTGCTTCCACCGCTGTCGATTTTCCAAACTTTTCTGCTGTTCTCCTTGGAAGTCGCCCTTTGGTTTGGTGTAGTGGGTAGGAGCGCGGACTCTGATCTGGGAGAACCGGGTTTGATTCCCCACTCCGCCTCCACATGCAGCTGCTGGTGTGACCTTGGGTCAGTCACAAGTTCTCTCGGAGCTGTTCTCTCAAGGGCAGTCCTCGGGAAAGCTCTCGCAGCCCCACCCACCTCACAGGGTGCCTGTTGTGGGGAGGGGCAGGGAAAGGAATCTGTAAGCCACTCTGAGACTCCTCCGGGTAGTGAAGGGCAGGGGATAAATCCAATCTCTTCTTCCTTTTCTTCTTCTTCTTTTACTCCTGGAAGACAGGAGGAAATGACTTCCCCAAAGAGGAGGGGCAGGCTCCGTCTCCCTCTCATGACAAACTTAGATACTGTTGCTGGATAATGAAAGGGAGTCACAGAAATTGGTTCCCCCCCCCCAAGTGATTCCAGCTGCTGTTTCCAAGAGTCGTTCAGACCGAGGCACACTCAGTTAGCTCCTCCCACCCCTCCCCCTCATGGGGCCCCTGTGGGAACCTTTTTGTCACCAGTTCCTCCCCCCCCCCAGCAACATATGTCTTTCTCTGGTCAGCTGGAGGGCCCTTTAAATCTTGCAGGAGGGACCCCTTTAAATGCTTTTGAGAAGAAGTGGGAGGGGCCTTTAAGGAAGGGGGCTGGCCCTTTAAGGAAGGGGGCGGAGCCCTCGACAGGCCCACTGTAGCTACGGGCCAGGGCAGGCTCCTTCTGCTTCCCATGACTTAAACTTAGATGCTTTTGCTGGTTAATGAAAGGGAGAAACAGAAACGGTCTCTCCCCCATCAGTGCACTCAGATGGATCCTCCCCACACCCCATGTCGTACCCACGTCTTTCTCTGCGAAAGGCTCTGTGGGACTCTGTGGCATTTCTCAGAGCCGCGGTTGCGACCGGTTCCTCTTTCTCGCGGCCGCTAACCTTTGTGTTTCTACACAGCACCTATGCGGATAAGCTGAGTCCCAAAGTGGTCCAGTCCCTGCTGGACCTGCTGTGCAGTCAGCTGAAGAACCTCCTGTCGCAAGCCGGGGTGATGCTCCTGGCTTCCTTCGGAGAGAAAGAAGGCGGGGAAGAGGAGGAGGAGGAGGAGGAAAAGGCTGAGGCCAATGGAGAGAGCGAGAGGAAGGACTTCAGAGGTAGGTACCAAGTTACCGTCCTCCTGCTGCTTGCAGGAGGGGAGGGGAAGGTGACTGGGGGTTGCAGTGAGGAAGGGGCCTTAACCTGGATCGCCCAGGCTAGCTAGATCGCATCAGATCTCAGAAGCGAGTCAGGGTGGGCCTTGGCTAGCATTTGGAAGGGCGACTTCCAAGGAATACCAGAGCCATGATGCAGAGGCAGGCAATGGCAAATCAGTTCACCACCTAGTGAACATCTCTTGCCCTTAAAAACAAGTCAAGTTCAGCACCTAGTGGTGCATAACCCTAAAAGAGCTAGAACTTGTGGCTGCTAGACAATCTTAGGATCTCCTGGCTATTCTATGCACAACGCTGTACAATTATTATCATCATCATCAGTGGGGAAGGGCCTTTGTGCCTGTGTGCAGCTGCTCTGCTTGTGGGGCCCCTGTGGGAACCGTGTTGTCACCAGTTTACCCCCCCAGCAATATATGCAAACTGCATCATGTTGGCTCTTTGGGTGCTGTCGCTGTGAATATGTGAAGCTGCCTTGCACAGAGTTGCTGTGGCTCAGCGGGAGAGCCTCTGCTCAGCATGCAGACGGTCCCATGTTCAGTCCCCAGCTTCTTCAGTTAAAAGGACCAGGCAGGGAGTGAGGAGAAAGACCTCCGCCTGAGATTTCCAGAGAGCCGCTGCCAGTCTGAGGAGGCAATAATGACCTGGAGGCACCGATGGCCTGATTCAGTAGAAGGCAGCTTCATGTATTCAGTGAAGTTGAATGTACTCAATGAAATTAATCAGCAATGGCTTAGAACAGATAAAAGGGAACACGTCTTCACCCAAAGAGTAATCAGCACGTGGAATTCACTGCCGCAGGAAGTGGTGGCAGCTACAAGCATAGACAGCTTCAAGAGGGAATTGGATAAACATATGGAGCAGAGGTCCATCAGTGGCTATGAGCCACAAGGTATAGATGGAGCACTCTGTCTAGGGCAGTGATGCTCTGTACTCTTGGTGCTTGGGGGGGGCAGAGAGAGGGCTTCTGGAGTTCTGGCCCCGCTGCTGGACCTCCTGAGGGCACCTGGTATTTTTGGCCACTGTGTGATACAGAGTGTTGGACTGGATGGGCCATTGGCCTGATCCAACACGTCTCATGTTCTTATGTCTGGGGCAATGATGCTCTGTATTTTTGGTGCTGGGGGGGGGGGGCAAGAGGCAGAGGGCTTCTGGAGTTCTGGCCCTGCTGGTGGACCTCCTGATGGCACCTGTTATCTTTGGCCACTGTGTGACACAGAGTGCTGGACTGGATGGGCCATTGGCCTGATCCAACATTGGCTTCTCTTCTCTTATTCTCATGGGCCACGTAGCACAGTAATAAGAGCAACTTTTCTATGTGCATAATCCTACGTTTTTTATATACCCGCAGTGGCCCTGCGAAAACAGCACGCCGCGGAATTACACCTCGGAGACTTCCTGGTTTTTCTTCGGAGGGTTGTTTCTTCCAAAGCCATCCAGTCAAAAATGGCTTCTCCGAAGTGGACAGAGGTGCTTCTGAACATTGCCTCTCAGAAATGCTGCTCAGGTACGACGCATTCAAAATGTCCCCTGCAGCTTTTATGCATGGGAGCATTTAGTGTTTCTGGACAGATTTTTAAAGCACGGATCTTGTCCGTCCCGCAAACAGCTGTGGAATTGCAGGTCATCCATGGTTTGCGAGTTCAGGCTACATGGCATTTAAAAACTGCGCATGTGGCGTGTTTCTGATTTGTTGTGTTTCTATGTGTGGTTGTTAAAAGCCTCCTCCTGTTTTCTCCTGTAGGTGTGCCCTTGGTTGGCAACCTGAGAACCCGGCTACTCGCCTTGCACGTGCTGGAGGCCGTCCTGCCTGCCTGTGAATCGGGCGTGGAAGATGATCAGATGGCGCAGGTCTGGTCAGCTTGCAGTATCTTAAAGTTAAATCTTGAGCAATTCAAGGGTGGAGCCAGATAGCACGTTGCACTGTTTGGGTCTGTTGGATTCCTGGAGGGGGAACCCCTGCTGGGAACGCTCTTTCGTTCTCTGCTTTGAGGGCTACAACAGAAGGCAGGGGAGACAATGAAGGCAAAAACAAGAGAGGCATAAATCACTGCCTCTGAAGCATTGTTCCCTCTAAGCTGAGTTTAGTGTGAGCTCGCTCACAGTTCTTTAGCCTCCGGCTCACACATTTTTGTCTGAGCTCAGGGAAGGAGGGCTCCAGAGCAAACTAATTTACGCAGCAGCCAAATGGCTCGCTCACACAACTTTAACGCCAGGAGCTCACAGGACTCCACAGCTTAGAGAGAGCACTGGCTAAGACTAGTGTTCCCTCTGAGCTGAGTTTAGTGTGAGCTAGCTCACAGTTTTTTAGCCTCCGGCTCACACATTTTTATCTTAGCTCAGGGAAGGCTGGCTCCAGAGCAAACTAATTTACGCAGCAGCCAAATGGCTCGCTCACACAACTTTAACGCCAGGAGCTCACAGGACTCCACAGCTTAGAGGGAGCATTGCTTCTGAAGAATGAGGGGCCATTCCAGCGGCCTGGGCCCCTGTAAAAGGATCCTCCAAGCCCTTCCAGCAGGCTTCATGGTGGATGCTGTTTATCAGATCTCCCACGAGGCGATTACATAGTGTTGGACGATGGGAAAGGGGTTGAAGTATATTAGTGCAAACGTTTGGATCCTGCCAGCTTTTCCGTAGGCCAAAGAGGGAGGAGCCCCCCACAACTCACTCTGGAGACTGTGGAGCTGGCATGAGCAAAAAGGCATTTGGGTGGTCTCCAGCGAGGAGAGGAGGTGAGCAAGGTCATTTTCCTCTTTCCTTGGCAGAAAAGCCGGTAGAATCCGATCCAGGGGCTTAATTGTCAAGGTGTTGACAGGTGGGCACGATTTCCGACAAAGGTGGACATAGCAGAAAGAACAGATTGTGCTGTCCAGAAACATTCTGCAGTACATAAAATTGTGCCAGAACTGAGGTGTAAAAACTGCCTGTTGTGTAAGATTTGAATCTTCCCTTTTTTGTCATGTATAAAAGTAAGGGGAAATAGTTATAAATGAATAACACCTTGCTATTTTAAATGCTGAAGGGGCTGCAGTGGTTAAGACACTGAACTGCAGACTGGAAGGTCGGTAGTTCAGCAGTTCGGGACCCGCATGCCGTGTGACGGAGTGAGCTCCCGTCTCTGGCCACAGCTCCTGCCAACCTAGCAGTTCGAAAACAAGACATTGCAAGTAGATAGACAGGTACCGCTTTGGTGGGAAGGTAACAGCATTCCATGCACCTCAGTGTTTAGTCATGCCAGCCACACGACCACGGAAAACATCTTCGGACAGCGCTGGCTCTTCAGCTTGGAAACGGAGACGAGCACCGCACCCCTAGAGTCGGATTCGACTGGCTTTCGAGCAAAGGAAGCCTTGACCTTGACCTTATTTTAAATGCTGCCTGGCAAATTGTATTCATAGTATAGGAATTCTGATTATAGACATAAAGTCAGCTTTGACGTGCTGGGATTCACTTGTTTTGAAACTGTGTCATACGCCAGGTAGTGGAACGTCTGTTCTCCCTTCTGTCGGACTGCATGTGGGAGAGCCCCGTTGCTCAAGCCAAGCACACGATTCAGGTCAAAGAGAAGGAGCAAGAAATGAAGCTGCAGCTCGGAGCTCCAGTCATTCCTCCCTCTTTCCTCTCCTTTCCCCACCCAGTATGTTTAACTTGACCCCTGTTCTGAGTAGTGTTCCCTCTAAGCTGAGTGAGTGTGAGGTAGCTCACAGTTTTTAAGCCTCTGGCTCACACGTTTTTGTCTTAGCTCAGGAAGGATGGGGCTCCAGAGCAGACTAATTGATGCAGCAGCCAAAGTCGCTCGCTCTCAACTTTAATGCCAGGAGCTCACAAAGTAGCATTTTTGCTCACAAGACTCCACAGCCTAGAGGGAGCCTTGGTTCTGACCCTGGCTCTAGAGATCTGAGCAGGCTTCAGCCATTTCTGAAGTGTGGGGAAAACTCCTTTTCCAGTAAAATGCGGGTGGGCAGCCCTGTTGGCCTGAAGCAGCAGAACAAAATTTGAGTCCAGGGCCGTGTGTCCCTCCAAGGTGAATTAGTGTGAGCCAGCTCACAGTTTTTAAGCCTCCGGCTCACCCATTTTTGTCTCCGCTCGGGAAGGAGGGCTCCGGAGCAGACGAATCTCTGCAGCAGCCCGATCGCTCGCTCACCACTTTCATGCCCCGGGAGCTCACCAAGGAGGATTCTTGCTCACGAGACTTTGAGGGAGCTTGGCGGGAGCCTTGGTTCTGAGGCGTTTCCGTGATTCTTCCGATAGAAGCAGGGAGAGTCTGAAGAGGAGGACGAGAACCTGCCCATCCAGGAGGTGTCGTTTGACCCCGAGAAAGCCCAGTGCTGCATCGTGGAGAACGGCCAGATCTTAACTCACGGCAGCGGAGGGAAGGGCTACGGATTAGCGTCCACTGGAGTCACTTCGGGTTGTTATCAGTGGAAGGTAAGAAGAGTCGGAGGCGTACTCGAGACATTCGAGATGAGGAGAAACCCATTGGAGGCAGCCTGCTGGCAAATCTGCGTTGGCATTTGGATACAAGGATTCGGGGGAGCTTTCAGCCTCCAAGCCGTGTCTTACTCAAAAGTAGAGCCAGACGAGGGGAAACCTTTAGAGCCCTATATGGTCGGGGGCCTGTCTACCCAAGGGACCGCCTTTTCCCACATGTCCCCCAGAGAGCACTGAGGTCAGGGTCGCAAAATCGCCTGACTCTCCCCGGCCTCTACCAGGGCCAGGGCCTTCTCAGTGGCGTCTCCACACTGGTGGGACGAGCTCCGGGAAGACATCAGGGCTCTGCGGGACCGCCTTCAGTTCCGCAGGGCCTGTAAAACAGAGCTCTTCCCCCAGGCCTTCCATTAGGAGCCGCCACTGAGTATACAGTGATAACATCTGAACTGTGAAGGCCCTCTATGTTAACTTGAACAATAACAGCCAGTGCAGTATGACCCTAAGGGATGCTACCGCCATCAGCATTTTATCTGCTTTTTATCTGTATTTATATGTGTTTGTGATTTTGAATATTACGCTATTGCATTGTCCCAACGCATCTGTGTTTTAACGTATTTTAACCCACTGTAAGCCGCCCTGAGCCTGCTACGCAAAGAGGGCGGGATACAAATCGAATTGATAAATAAAAATAAATAAAAATCTGTGGTTCCCACAGCATTTCAGTGGGTTTCGAATGGTAGCCCAGATTTGGCACCAAGCCTATACAACGTCTGACTCTCGCAAGCTGGACTCGGTCGTTTTGAACACTTTGGAAGCCCTTGGTTTGCTAAACTCTCCAGGCCCGTGGATTACGAGGGCCGTCTCTCCTGTCTGTTGGGGCCTAGAAGCCCCTGCCCCAGTTTGCCCCTTGGCCGAATGTGGAGGAGCACTGGAGCCCACTCTGGACCCAGTGCCAAATTCAGGGTTGGGAATTTGGAAAAACCTTCTAGTGCTGCCTGTTTTAGCCTGGAAGTATTCCCCGGTAAATAAATTCTTGAAACAGGAGGTGGCGGAGGCGGCTACAAGCATGGACGGCTTCAAGAGGGAATTAGATAAACATATGGAGCAGAGGTCCATCAGTGGCTCTTAGCCACAAGGTATAGATAGGAACTCTCAGGCTGAGGCAAGTGATGCTCTGTATTCTTGGGGCTTGGGGGGGGGCAACAGTGGGGGGGGCTTCTAGTGTCCTGGCCCCACTGCTGGACCTCCGGAGGGCACCTGGTATTTTTGGCCACTGTGTGACACAGAGTGTTGGACCGGATGGGCCACTGGCCTGATCTAACACTGGCTTCTCTTATGTTCTTATGTCTGGGGCAAGGGATGCTCTGTATGCTTGGTGCTTGGGGGGTGACAGCGGAAGGGCTTCTGGAGTTCTGGCCCCACTGCCGGACCTCCCGATGGCACCTGGTATTTCTGGCCACTGTGTGACACAGAGTGTTGGACCGGATGGGCCACTGGCCTGATCTAACACTGGCTTCTCTTATTTTCTTATGTCTGGGGCAAGTGATGCTCTGTATTTTTGGTGCTGGGGGGGGCAACAGTGGGAGGGCTTCTGGTGTCCTGGCCCCACTGCTGGATCTCCTGATGGCACCTGGTATTTTTGGCCACTGTGTGACACAGAGTGTTGGACGGGATGGCCTATTGGCCTGACCCAGCATTGGCTTCTCTTATGTTCTTATTTGCTAGTTGAGTGGCTTTTCAGGTCCAAAATGCATTATCCTAACTATTTCTGTGTTGTTGTTGTGTTACTTATTGTTTTAAGTGATAGATCAAGATGGGTCACTATATTAGTCTGTCAGTAGCAGTCAAAAAGAGCAAGAACCCAGTGGCTCCTTAAAGGCTAATAACATTTATGGCAGGGTAGGAGGTTTCGTGGGTCACGAGAGCTCCTGCCCTGCCACAGATTGTGTTAGTCTTTAAGGTGCCACTGGAGCCTTGCTCTTTTCTGTCGCCTTGAGCGTTCAGGGCCCTTGCATCGCCTTCTTTCTAGTTCTACATTGTGAAGGAGAACCGCGGCAACGAAGGCACGTGTGTCGGCGTGTCTCGGTGGCCGGTCCACGATTTCAATCATCGCACCACCTCCGACATGTGGCTGTACAGAGCGTATAGTGGCAATCTCTACCACAACGGGGAGCAGACCTTGACCCTGACCAGCTTCACCCAGGGGGACTTCATCACGTGTGTTCTGGACATGGAAGCTAGGACCATTTCCTTCGGTTATAACGGAGAGGTACGGAATGGCTTTTTGGGAAGCAGAGGGCAGAGGCAGGCGCATTTGAAAGCCTGGTCTGTGCTCCTTTCAGGGTTTGATCCCTCCCTTAAGCATTTCGAGGACAGTCATTTAGAGGAGGGGAGGGAGACGGTTCGGTTGGTGGTGGAAGATCAGACTCAGAATAAGGGGTCTAAATTACAGGTTTGGTGTAGTAGTTAAGAGCGCGGACTCTAATCTGGGAGAACCAGGTTTAATCCCCCACTCCTCCACAGGCAGCAGCTGCTGGTGTGACCTTGGGTCAGTCACAGTTCTTTCAGAGCTGTTCTCTCAAGGGCAGTCCTCGAAAGAGCTCTCTCAGCCCCACCTACCTCACAGGGGGTCCGTTGTGGGGAGGAAATTGTACACCGCTCTGAGACTCCTTCTGGTAGTGAAGGGCGGGGTATAAATCCAATCTCCTCTTCTCCTCTTCTTCTTCAGGTGGGGAGATATCAGCAGCATTTTAGGGGAAACCTTTTAATAAGGGCAGTTCAGTGGTGGACGAACCGGTTGCCCAGGGATGTTGTGGGTTCTCCATCCTCGGAGGTGTTTAAGCGGAGGTTGGGCGATTATCCATCAGGGGTGCATAAGGTCATCCTGCATGGTGCCGGGGGTCTTTAGGCCCCTTCCAGCTAATTCTGTGATTCTACGTGACTCCTTCTGTATTCCACCAGGAGCCCAAACTGGCTTTTGAAGACGTGGATGCTGCAGAATTATACCCTTGCGTGATGTTTTATAGCAGCAACCCTGGAGAAAAGGTAATTAAAATGTTAGCCTCAGTGGCCCATCATGACCAGTGTTCCCTCTAAGCTGAGTGAGTGTGAGCTAGCTCTCAGTTTTTTAGCCTCCGGCTCGCACCATTTTTTGCCTTAGCTCAGGGAGGATGGGGCTCCAGAGCAAACCAATTTAATGCAGTAGCCAAATCGCCGGCTCACAACTCTAATGCCCGTAGCTCACAGAGTAGAATTTTTGCTCCCAAGACTCCACAGCTTAGGGGAGCATTGATTACGACGTTGTTGGCGGCCTGTGAGATGGATGGCGAGCGGGGGTGGGGGGACAGAAGCCAGGCCGTCTCAGCAGAGCGTCTTTGTGTGGGTGTCTTCCTCCGTCCAGGTCAAGATCTGCGACATGCAGATGCGCGGCACCCCACGGGACCTGCTCCCCGGGGACCCCATCTGCAGTCCCGTCGCTGCCGTGCTGGCGGAGGCCACGATCCAGCTCATCCGCATCCTCCACCGAACGGACCGGTGGACGCACTGCATCAACAAGAAGATGGTGGAGCGGCTCCGCAAGATCAAGACCTGCCTGAAAGACGGGGTCCAGAAGCTGAAGAAGAGCCGTTCCCTGCAGAGCCGGGAGGAGAACGAGGCCCGGGAGGAGAAGGAGGAGGGCAAGGAGGAGGAGAAGGGCAAGCACGGCAGCCGGCACGGCCTGGCCGACCTCTCCGAACCCCAGCTGAAGACCCTCTGCGTGGAGGTGTGGCCCGTGCTGGCCGTGATCGGCGGGGTCGACGCGGGGCTCCGCGTGGGGGGCCGCTGCGTCCACAGGCAGACGGGGCGCCACGCCACCTTGCTGGGCGTGGTCAAAGAGGGCAGCACGTCCGCCAAGGTCCAGTGGGACGAAGCGGAGATCACCATCAGGTACAGTGTGCTCTCAGTACTGGCTCGAGGCGAGGCCCCGTCTTTTTAAATGAGAAGAGTTTTCAGCTAAACACGAGGAAGAACTCCCTGACAGTGAGAGCAGCTCCTCAGTGGCTTCCTCGGGAGGCGGTGGGCTCTCCTTCTCTGGAAGTTTTCAGACAGAGGCTAGATGGCCCCATCTGACAGCAATGCCGATCCTGTGGACTTGGGCAGATCCTGAGAGGGAGGGCAGGAAGGGTTGCCTCAGGGCTTAGTTCTCATTGGGGCCCTTTCTGACACACCCAGGGAAATGCCGGTCGCCACTTTGTGGTCAGGGAGCCATTTTTCTCCAGGCCAGTTGAGATTTATTTGCCTTCTTCTGGTCATGGAGCAGGGGTCACTGGGTGTGTGGAGGGGGAGGCATTTGTGAATTTCCTGCATTGTGCAGGAGATTGATGACCCTTCCAGCCCTGTGTTTCTTTGTTTCCCAGTGGTGTGGGCTTAGAAAATGTCACATTTTAAATCTGTGGCGGCCGCTACTAGTAGCTGTAAACCAGACAGAGAGCAGTTTAGGAATAAATTTTAGTTGCTTACAAATATCCAAGTGCTGTGGTTTTCAAAAGGCTAGGGCCTTTTCCTCCTGATGAATCCATAAGAACATCAGAGACGCCAACGTTGGATCAGGCCAAAGGCCCATCCAGTCCAACACTCTGTGTCACGTAGTGGCTAAAAACACCAGGTGCCTTCAGGAGGTCCAGCAGTGGGGCCAGGACACTAGGGGCCCTCCCACTGTTGCCCCCCCCCAAGCACTTGCCCCAGACAACGTGAGAGGTTTGTGCAGTTTTGAATGAAAGGTAAACAGTGCCAGTTACAATGTGGGAAATTCCAGTGAGGCAGGAAAAACAAAGGAACTTGGGGGGTGATTTGGAGACCTGGTTTTGGAGGCAGGGGCTGTGGCTCACAGGAGCTTGTGCACCATTTATCGGTTGCACGTTGTTGTTTGCGCCTCTTGAGGAGCGTGCATTTCCCCACACCCGTGTGTAGGACCGAGCATTTCTTAGCGATTGACTTGGTAAACATTCGGAGTCGCATGTTCTGTCAAAAACGCGTGCATGCTTTTGTCCTTGTTGCGTTGATTGTCACCTCTTCCCCCACGATCTGATCACACAACCCGATTTCTTTCCCCTTGTTGCTCACATTTACTTTTTTTAAAGACTGTCGGTTCGTTTAGCCTTTGATTAAATATGTTTCACATCTTATTTTTGCCTGCATTATTTCCTGTACTTTCCTTCTGTCTATCCCTCACTCGCTTCTTCCTGTGTCATTCTGGTCTTTATTAAAGCTTCCCAACTTTTTGGTCGCCTAGTGATACGCCCCTGTATAACCTGGAACCTTGCGAGCCACTGCCCTTTGACGTCGCGAGGTTTCGGGGACTGACCGCCGCCGTGTTGCTGGACCTGACCTACCTGACCGGCATCCACGAGGACCTGGGGAAGCAGAGCGCCAAGAGACATGAGAAGAAGCACAAGCACGACTTGGAAGACAAAGGAGGAGACGCAGACCTGAGAACGGAAGGGGACTCCTCATCGGAGGCGCGCTCGGTGCCGAGCACCGAGGACCTGAAAGGACACGGAGCCACGAGCTCAAAATCGGACAGCGAAGTCGCTTCCTTTTCTTTAGAATCCGTTTCCTTAGGTGCAGATGGCCAGCATCCAAATACGGAAGGCAAAAGAAAGAATCACGAACACGCTTCCAAAAATCACGACGTGGTACAATCAGAAATCCGGGCGGTGCAGCTGTCCTACCTTTACCTCGGGGCGATGAAATCGCTCAGCACCCTTCTCAGCTGCAGTAAATACGCCGAACTGTTGCTAATCCCGAAAGTCCTGGCGGAGAGCGGCCACAACTCCGACTGCGCCAGTTCCCCCATCGTCCACGAAGACGTCGAGATGCGCGCCGCCTTGCAGTTCTTGATGCGCCATATGGTGAAGCGGGCAGTCATGCGCTCTCCCATCAAAAGGGCGCTCGGGCTGGCGGACCTGGAGCGGGCGCAAGCCATGATCTACAAACTGGTGGTTCACGGGCTGCTGGAGGACCAGAGCGGCAGCAGGATTAAACCAGGTACCTCCCGGGCAGCTTCTCGTTTGAATGTTTGTCCTTGCACATGGGTAGCTGGCTATCTCGACTGTCACTGAGCACTCAAGACGACGCCTGAGAGGTTGGAGAGCGGCTCTGTTGGTCGTAGCAGGCATTGCCCAACCAGTCGGGGGCCGGTGGTCTGACTGGGTGGAAGGGGTCCTGTGTTTCCATGAGAGAGGGGGGGCTGTTCGTTCCCTTGGCAAACATGTATTCCTGACTCATTTTTGCCAAACTAATGGGAAGGGCCAGGAGCAGGCACTGGCAGCAGAGGTGTGGGAAGAACAGAAGCATGTTTTGCCCTCCAGCCCCCGTTGGTTCTTGAACACGCATGAAGCTGCCTTGTGCTAAATCAGACCCATCGGTCCATCAAGGTTGGTCCTGTCTACTCAGACTGGCAGCCGCTCTCCAGGGTCTCAGGCTTGAGGTCCTTCATGTCACCTGCTGCATGGTCCTCTTTAAATTGGAGATGCTGCCGGGGATTGAACCTGGGACCTTCTGCATGCCAAGCAGAGGCTCTTCCACTGAGCCACAGCCCCTCTTTACAGCTCTCCAGGGTCTCAGGTGGAGGTCTTTCACATCACCTCCTGTCTGGTCCTTTTTAACTGGAGATGCTGCCAGGGACTGAACCTGGGACCATCTGCATGCCAAGCAGAGGCTCTGC